AATTTTAATGACGGGAGAAAATAACGAATTGTTGATAATATTTATGATTTGGATGAGGTGAAATTCTACAATTGTGAATAGATGTTTCATAGTTCCAAACATTTTACCATTAAAACTTGGGTTTTCAATAAAATGCAGAAGAAGAAGAAGGATGATACTAATGACTAGGGGTGGCAGTCGGTCGGTTTCGGTTAAAGTCATTTTGACTTTCGTCCGATGCATACTGTATCATGATAGTGATGTAAGTCTCTCACTCTTAAATATTCTGTGTAAATACACATTTTAGGGCGACAAACTAATACTAATTCTTATCTTATTTTATTTTATTTTACAGTCAGGTCGTAATCGTTGTGCTGGACCAGAGATGAAGGCAATGATTCGTGACACTGTTATGGAAGATCTAATGGAATTATTCCCTGGTTTTATCCTTAACCTAGTAGAGGCGTTGTGGGGGGTCGGTGAGGTCCGAGGTATACTATACTTGTTATAACTTCTTTTTGAGCATAGCAATGGAAAACGATAGTTCCTAAATTGTGTTTAACCTTTAATAGTGTTTTATCCCCCTCTTTTTCTTGATGCTCTAGGATTTATAATGAACATTCAAGATTATTAGTCATACGGATGTCAGGTGCAAGATTTCAGGTGCATGAATAGTAAAGATGTTTATAATGAATTTGTCAATATTATTAATCCACAAGATGTTGAAACTTGTCTTTTCCTGGTTCCAGGTGCACGAATCCTTGAGTTGCAGTTTGAGGAGCACCATCAAATCCGAAGAGTGCTCCAACTATGACTAAATATGTAGTTTTATTTTGTATGCCATACGGATGTCAGGTGCAAGATTTCAGGTGCATGAATAGTAAAGATGTTTATAATGAATTTGTCAATATTATTAATCCACAAGATGTTGAAACTTGTCTTTTCCTGGTTTCAGGTGCACGAATCCTTGAGTTGCAGTTTGAGGAGCACCATCAAATCCGAAGAGTGCTCCAACTATGACTGAATATGTAGTTTTATTTTGTATGCCATACGGATGTCAGGTGCAAGATTTCAGGTGCATAAATAGTAAAGATGTTTATAATGAATTTGTCAATATTATTAATCCACAAGATGTTGAAACTTGTCTTTTTCTGGTTCCAGGTGCACGAATCCTTGAGTTGCAGTTTGAGGAGCACCATCAAATCCGAAGAGTGCTCCAACTATGACTGAATATGTAGTTTTATTTTGTATGCCATACGGATGTCAGGTGCAAGATTTCAGGTGCATGAATAGTAAAGATGTTTATAATGAATTTGTCAATATTATTAATCCACAAGATGTTGAAACTTGTCTTTTCCTGGTTCCAGGTGCACGAATCCTTGAGTTGCAGTTTGAGGAGCACCATCAAATCCGAAGAGTGCTCCAACTATGACTGAATATGTAGTTTTATTTTGTATGCCAATGGAATTAGTTACTTGGGCTGGGAGTTGTGGATCCTTGCTTTTGGGAGTGCAACTTTGAGCTAGTTGTTGAATGATGTCCTTGGTGTTTTTCCACTGTATTTTTTTATTGAGTACACATTCAGTTCAAGTCATTTACAGTGGCTATCGACAGATAGAGTTGGATTTGGTATTATGATTTATAATGACAGTTTGTTTTTGGTAAGAGTCTGAAACCTGCATTTGGATTTGGTTCAAATCCATCCCTTAATTTCCTATGAAATAAAAAAAGTTTGATCCCTTAATTTGACTTCATAACTTTGAGAATTTCAAATACATTTTTAATAAGTACTCATTCGAAATCCCGTACTTTGCTCCCATGTCTCGACAGGCCAGGACTTCCTTCTCGTCGGGAACTTTGATAAGATGTTTGCGTTAGTGTATTTATTCTTACAGATAGCATCTGTCATTTGGTTTTTAATCGGAATCTCCGAATATTTCTTTGTACACAATATTTTTTTGCAAGTCCTAGCTTGATGATTGTTATGGATGATATAACAAAGAAAGGCTTGAACTGTCAGCCAAAGAATCAAACATCATAACAAAGAAAATCATGCGTATATGACTCTGTCATTATTGCTATGGCGTATATGACTCGTCATTATTGGTATGGATGATATAACATTATCTTTATCTTATATATAATAGCGGACTACACTTTATTGCCCAAACTTGCAACTACTGTTTCATTTTTTGTCTGCTAGCGAGGGACACTAGAAATAATGGGACGATCTGAAAAGTGAAGAGAGCTACTACAAGCTACCCATCCCTCCACTGCAATCACAATTCACAACCAACCCTTTCATAGTGTCCCATCCCATCCCATCCTCTCACCATTCCAAGCTGTAGACTCTTCCCCACACGTAACCACCTATATCCTCACCTTACTCCTCTGGAATTAGAGAAGACCCCTATTCTCTGGTTCTATTTTCAGCGGCACCTCCTCTTCCTACACCCAACTCTTCTGGCCACCTCACCATCTTGAACTACACCATCCTTTCGAAGCTAGCATGGACGGATGGAGACCCTAGGCGCTCCGGTGGATTCTCCAAGTTATCGACAATGTGGATGAACGAAATCGGTGAGTTCTCTTTCCCCTATTAGTTCTTTCTAGCCAACTGTTTCCGGCATCCACGCATATCTCTTCATCGGGATCTTTAGATTTTCCCTGTTTTCCTAGGGTCTCATCGTTCTTAGGCTAGGATCCTTCTTTTCTACTCTCCATCGTTTTTCCTGCTCCTTCACTCTGAATCTCAGTTTCTTTTCTTTTTCGCAGCGGGTAGACTTCGTCTCATCTTGGGCAGTGATGACTGGATTCGTGGAAGAGTTCGGTATTTTTAAGTTCACGGTATGAGTAGATTAAAATGATGAAAGATTCAATGCTCTTTGTTCCTTGGTTCTTTTATGGATGAAGTTTTATTTTTATAGCATCCAAGCTTGCATATAATGCAATTATGGAATTCAAGCCACATCATCTTTTTTATTATTAAATTATTCATTAATTTTATTATTTGAGTGTTTATGTTTTAATAAATTAAATAAAAAAATTAGCTGCAATTGCAAGTTAATTGCATTGATGTGGTGCAATGCAAGTAAGATGAGTTGGATTGCAAAAAAATGAAGTAGCAATTAAAAAAAAATGCAATTGCAATTGCACCAATGGAGATGCTCTAACCGTTAGTTCTGCAAAAAGCCTCGATGACAACTACCTTATGGATTATATATTCTTAGAGCATCTCCATCAATGCAATTGCAAAAAAAATTACATTTGTGTTTTTTATTTTCAATTTAATTTTTTTGCAATCCACATTACATTCATTTCATTCATTTACATCAATGCAATTAACTTGCAATTGCAAATGTAATTAAATATTATGTTTAAATTATAGAAAATTAAGTAAAAGAGAAAAGAAAAAAATATAAAATAAAAAAATCCCTATTTTTTAGGCTTTTTTACTTGCATATGGAATTGCATTTGTTGCAAGTTTGCAAATATGCAATTGGTAGCCACATCAATGCAATTGATTTTGCAATTGCAAACACCTATTCCATGTCATTTTGCAATTGAGAATTCAATACCAATGTGGATGCTCTAAGAGCATCTCCATCAATGCAATTGTAAACTCAATTGCATTTGTTTTTTTTTTTTTTTGCCAACTCAAAGTTTTTGCAATCCATCTCATTTTACTTTTATTATACCTACATCAATGCAATTCATTTGCAATTGCATATGTGATTTAATTCCACATATAAAAGTAAAAAAAAAAGAAAAAAAAAAATTAAAAGAAGAAGAAAACAATCGGTCCTTCCCATAAAAATAGCCATGTTGGCTTTCACTTCCACTTGCATTATATGCAAGATTGCAAAAGTGCAATTGAGGCCTACAGCAATGCAATTACAGTTGCAAGCATTCCACGTCACTTTGCAATTGCAAAATGTGACCGATGGAAATGCTCTAAGGAGAAGTCACCTTATTGCACCAATTGCACCAATGGAGACTCTCTCAACTCTCTCAGACTCTCTCAACTCTGCACATCGTTGACAAAGAAAAAAGAAACATTATTGCCCAACAACAATGATAGTGTAACACTAACCAGGATCCATTAACAAAGCATGCTTCTGCTCATTTTTCTTTCTAAAATACTGTGTATGATATCTCGTTTATTTTGTATCGGATCAATTGACAACCTTAACAAATCCTTGAGAACATAATCAATGTACAATAATCATCTCTCTCTCCTCCAACCACCTCTGCCTTTGTCTCTACATAATCAACGTTTGTTGCCGTCGGTAGAGTCGATAGCTTTTTTTTTCTCCCAAAATCAAGCTCATAATGGCATTAACTGGCTGTCACTACCATCATTCTCCGACATGTTCATCGGCGGCAGTTGGTTTGAACTCCCGGTGTAGTGATCTTCATCGCCGGGCGCCGTCACAGCTGTCTTCCCTGGCCTTAATCAGTCCCAACATGACCAATTCCAGGATTATAAGTACAAGACCAACTTCATGCTACGGCAGCACGACGCCGTTTCTCTCGGTTCGCTCCGAATCCACGGTACGCAGCGGTTTGATGTTTTTAGTGTAAAAGAACCGTTGGTCTAACTTGTTTGATTCAGATAATTCGCTGTTTGTGAAAAAATAGGATCGTACGTCTTACTCGTTTGATTCATATTCTTAAGGAGAAGTCACTTCATCATGTAGAAATGACGTATCAATCGTATCGTAAAATTAAAATACATACATCCTACGTTTTACTAGGGGTTACATTACCTTTTCACTAGTGAACTAACTCCTCTTTTAGTATAGTTTTGATACTCTTATGGTTGTCGTAGAATTGTGATAACAGATGTTTAACTACAACAACATGAAAATAGAAAACAGAAACACGAAATGAAAGTTAACTATAAAAAAAACACATTTATGCTTACTTCTTTAGACTCGATTTATAATAATTTGTAAATACTTGATTTAATACATCGTTACACTCCAAAATTTGCTACCTGTTGGATTCATCCCTGTAAAGAACTATTGAGGAGGCTGCAAGAAACAATTTCTTACCGTTGTCTGAGTTCTGACCAGCTCACATCAGTAAAGAGAGAAGAAGCGAGAGCGACAGTAGGGAGGAGAAGGTGTTCACCATTCCTGGAGAAGAGATTGCTGTCAGGGACTGGATTGGAGAGCGATGAGTGGACAAGTGTTGCAGACATTTGGAGGTCTAGTGCGGAGAAATATGGAGACAGAGTTGCAGTGGTGGATCCATACCATCATCCCCCAACTACTCTCACTTACAAACAGGTCTACTTCTGATTATTTCCCACCATGATTTACAAGAACGGTAAATCTGTAGAGTTGTTTTTTTCATCTGCATTGTCTTTGAATTTGCAGCTGGAGCAAGAAATACTGTATTTTGCTGAAGGGTTGAGGATGGTGGGGATGGAGCCACAAGAGAAGCTTGCTCTTTTTGCTGACAACTCCTGTAGGTGGCTTGTTGCTGACCAAGGTACTTTCTTTACCTTTTTTCTGGTTCATCAAATGGAACTTTGACTTGCAATGATCAGAGAATTAGGGTTTCATGCTTATACTTTGTTATGTCAAAATTTCACCTCATTAGGGTCAATGGCGATGGGAGCAGTTAACGTTGTGAGGGGGACAAAGTCAACTACTGAAGAGCTACTACAAATATACAACCATTCTGACAGGTTTAGAACAATCTCTCTTTTTCTTGCTATGTTTGTATTCACCTTTGATGTTTAACAATTTTGAGTTACTTACTGGTCTTGCATGTGTTGCAGTACTGCGCTTGCTGTGGACAACCCTGAATTATTCAGTCGAATTGTCGGGACGTTTTGTTCAAAGGGGGCGACAGTGAAATGTGTCATTCTTCTTTGGGGAGAGAAACCATGCTTGAGTGAGTTTGGAATAGAGGGATTGCCTGTTTTCACTTACCAAGAAATCATTGATTTGGGACACGAAAGCTACAGAGCCTTATCTGATTCCATTCATACAAGTAAGTTCATCAAATTATCAGCACTAGTCGATCTTACTATGGGAAACTTTTCCTTAATTGCATCAATATGATTGCAGGGTCAATGTATGTACATGAAACCATAAGCTCTGATGATGTTGCTACGCTTATGTATACGAGTGGAACCACTGGAAATCCCAAAGGTGTCATGCTTACACATAGAAATCTATTACACCAGGTATGGTTCATTCTTTCCCATGCATTTGATCTCATCTATGGCTATCAATCAATTATATGCTGGTTTATGAATTTGTGTGTGTTGGTTTCCAGATTAATAATTTGTGGGACTTGGTTCCTGCTGAACCTGGGAACAGATTCTTAAGCATGCTTCCATCTTGGCATGCATACGAACGAGCTTCCGAGTACTTCATTTTCACACGAGGTGTCGAGCAAGTCTACACAACTGTAATGAAGTTTAAGGTAATGGTTACTCCTTGTAAAGCGCCCTTTTTACATTTCACACAATCAATCAGGATGCTTTAATTGGACTTATTGCGTATTGGATAGGATGATCTGAAGCGTTACCAGCCCCATTACATTGTATCTGTTCCTTTAATATTCGAAACGCTGTACAGGTCAGTTCTTTACTTTGTAGCTACCTCTATTTTACTTGATGGTGAGTAAACTAATTCTGAACTACTTTCTGCAGAGGGATTCAGAAACAGATTCACTCCAAGTCCATGCTTCGTAAGGTTGTCGAGCTTGCACTTATAAGGGTCAGCTTAACTTACGTGGAGATGAAGCGAATCTATGAGGTCTGGGGGATACAAGTGATGCTCTTTGAATTTCATTTATATGGTCAGGGTTCTTTGTCAGATGGTATATTCATGGAAACTTAGTTTTTTTTACTCATCATTCATAGGGGATGTATCTAACTCCGAAAGAGCAGCAGCCATCGCATATTGCTGCCTTGTTAGACTGGCTATGCGCACGAATGATTGCTGCAATATTGCTTCCATTGCATATGTTGGCTAAGAAGGTTGTCTACAGCAAGTTCCACTCTGATATCGGAATAAGAAAGGTCTTGTAACCTGTCCATTCTTATACGATTAGAGGTATCTGCGAGTTAAGGAAATTTACTATGTTGATGGTGACTTGCAGGCTGCCATTAGTGGAGGTGGCAGTTTACCTTCACATGTTGATAGATTCTTTGAGGTCAGATCTTTATCATTTGTATTTCCCCTCTCTGTTTCTACAAGTTAGTTCCATTAGTTGTCTTAGATGATTATCATTGTCTGGAAAATATGTAGGCGATTGGGGTGAATTTACAGAATGGTTATGGAATGACAGAGACAGCTCCAGTTACTGCAGCTCGACGACTTAGTCATAATGTGAGGCATCCTGTTATGCATTGGCACTGCACTTTTTAAACTGCATCTAACCAAATTTTGAACATTTGAAGGTTCTTGGCTCAATTGGGCATCCGATTCGTCACACGGAGTTCAAGATTGTAGATGCTGAGACTGATGAATCTCTTCCACCTGGCACAAAGGGAATAGTAAAGGTCAGAGGTCCACAGGTGATGAAAGGTTATTACAAGGTAAGGGAGTTGATCTGTAGCTCTTAAACTCGTGTATTAACATAGTAATAACAGCTAGATGAGAGATTCCAATGCTTGTTCTGTAACTGCTGTGCGTCTTTTGCTGATATTCGACCAGAATCCGCGGGCAACAGAGCAAGTCCTGGATAAAGATGGCTGGCTAAACACTGGGGATATAGGATGGATTGCTCCTCATCATTCAATAGGGCGGAGCAGAAACTGCGGTGGCATTGTTGTACTTGAAGGGCGTGCTAAAGATACTATAGTCCTTTCAACAGGTATGAATGGAAGTAAGGTCATAACATTTGGGAGGGTATACACTGGTCTGCTTATTTCAGCTTCTGCTAGGGAAAATTACGATCTGTTAACTGCTAAATAGCTTAATTCTTGAATGTCAAATAGGTGAAAATGTCGAGCCCTTGGAGATTGAAGAAGCGGCTATGAAGAGTAATCTTATTCACCAAATTGTTGTTATTGGTCAGGTATGGTGCAATCGTGTAAGAAAGTATTTACTATCGGTTTATGAACGAAAGATTGTAACTTTTCTACTCAAAACTATATGAATGAACTGCAGGATCAACGCCGTCTGGGAGCTATAGTTGTCCCGAACAAAGAAGCAGCATTGTTGGCTGCTCCAATGGCCTCGACTGAGGATGCTGATACGGCTGCACTCACCAACGATCAACTGACAAGGTTGATTTACGATGAATTGTGTACCAGGTAACTTGCCTAGGAATCACAAGCAGAAGAAGATTAAGTGTTGACTGTTGAGAGGATGCATTTTCGTAATGTAATCTAACACCTTGAGTAAAATGATAACAGGACAACAGACTGCACGTTTCAGGTCGGCCCAGTACTGGTGATCGACGAGCCTTTCACGGTAAAAAGTTAGAATGGAGACGCCGTCTTTTAACCTTCCTTGCCCCTGTGCAATTTGGCTGCAGAACCCCTTACTGAGATTTGTTGGCTTTCCGATGCAGATTGAGAATGGGTTGTTAACTCCAACCATGAAAATCCGAAGGGACAGAGTGGCTGCTAAATATGAACGACAGATTGACGATCTCTACAAGTAGTAATATGCTTGTTAAACCGTTAATGGCGTGGCGGCCAAGTCAAAATCTTGAGGAAATTGGAATGAATGAAAAGTTTTGCAAATGCCTGCATTTCATAGCTTGGTGGGTGCTTGTGTTGTTATATTATTCATTGTTTCAATGTGACTTTTGTATATTTTCTATTACGCAATGTTGATGCTGAAGAGAATTGAAGTATTAGGGTCTTATGGAACCCAGCTCTTCAATCTTCATGCATAATATTACTCGAATGAGTTAGAGATTTTCCCCCCAAAATGAATTAGAGATTTAATAGAAGGTCAGCAATCAGAAATCTTCGGGTTTCGTTACATGATTAAGTCTAGTTCAACTTAGTTTTAAGGTAATCAAAGACTTAAAGAGAAATATAGCAACTGGCAAATCTTGCAAAGAGCACTGATTTGGGTTCCTAACAAGCTTGAGGGATAAATATGCAGAACAAGAACAGCATGATAAAATCCATTAGCAACACAAACTGCACATAAATTGCGAATGTCATTTAGAAGGGAAAGGAACCACCCTGTAACTATTACTATTACTATTATTACTGTCACGACAAGTCGAAATCCAACCCAGAACAGCCCGCAACGGTATCATTCAACCACTCTACAGAAAAGACTCAGAAAAAAGGAGGCGATAATCTCTCCAGTTCCCTTAACATCTTCAGTAAGAGAGAGCAATCACCAACAGTTACAGGATCTCGCCAAAAACAAAAAACAGGGAAAGGGGAAAGAGATCGAATTTGGATTCGGGGATCTTCCGAAACTTACGACTGCCCTTCAGATTTCTTTTCCCACCACTCCAAGAACTTGACCTGTGCAGCCATGGTGTCCATCCTGTAAAGCTGGTACCAGTGATTCGCGACTTCGTGACCGAATGTCCAGCCAAAGGCACCGCCGGCAACGAAGGACAGCCCAGCACCTGCGGAAAAAAGGGGGTTATCAAAAGAGGCTGAGACATCTACAACATCAACATATGAACTCGGGCAATGAACAGCATTACATTATTATTTCAACATTCTGTTCACAAGCCCAACAAAGGATTAGAAGAGGGAAATCCTACACCAAGACTGATTACCAACAGGAGATGAACAGCTTTGGCAATTCGGTATCGTAAAACGAGCATGTGCTTACCATGTAAGCTCTTTGAGTATTTCCAGGCAAAAGCAGCAGTTGATACTGCTCCAAGAAGACTCCCGGTGAGACCAAAGGATGCTGCTTCTCTAGCAGTTTTCAGCTGAAATAGGATAAACTTCAGTTACCATGAATTTCCACAGCACACATCAACGTCAATAACTCAATATTACAATGACCTGTAGGAATACCTCAAGCAAAAGGACAATGAAATATGGTTCTTGGGTTCAATTAAAGCTAACTTGATGGGATTTTAGGGATGCAAAAAAGGAACAATGCCAGAGGAGGTAATCTTTCGATTTTCATTGTTGAAGCAGACATAAAAAAACCAGCTAATCCAAACATACAAAAACTTCTAGCTGACTGATATCCTCTTGACCAGTACTCTAAGGAAATTGCACACTACTCGAAAGATAACTAAACAGAACATTCTTCTGCCTACGGATGGAACAAACTCAGCCTAATTGTTCTAACGGAGTTTCGAAATCGACATTTGGGAACGACAGAAAGCTCGTTGAAATGTCTCATTTTCGAGATTCCTCTGACTCAGAATGCAGTGTCGGGAATTGAAGGGATACAATCTCTACCATAACTAGCAGTAGCACCCTCCAACGTGATCAGTTAATCAAACAGCAAACGATCAAATGGAATCTGTAATAAACAAGCACTACATCCCTGTCTAAATCCTCGTTACATTTCCAATCCTCTTTGTCATTACCAGCATCTCCTAATTAGAGGAATTTCCCAAAATTCCTATCGTAAAATGACAGGTAATCCTCAGAATCCCAACCAGGTTTCATGAAACAGATAAGAATCGAGGCCCTAAATCAGATTTACCAAACCAGGGCGAGGAAAGCTTCGAAACTGGGACGATGCGAGATTCGACGGCAAGAGGAAGAGAGAGAGAGAGAAAGAGAGCTTACAGTGGGACCGTGATGGGGATCGGAAGCGATGAACTCTTGGACGTCATCGGAGGACCAAGACGGGAGGGGCTTGTCGCGCTTGACGAACCTCGAGTAGTTGTCCAGAAACGAGAACCTCTCCGCCCAGAACCCTTTGTACTCATCCCACTGCCTGATCAGAAATGATTTCTCGGAATCTCCCATTGGCTTTTCTTCTACTCCGGCGCCTCCTCTCTTCCCTTCGATTTTTCTCTTCGTCTTCAATCACAGAGCTACCCACCACGCCGCTGTGCAGAATTGCCGGTCGCTCGCCACTCTCCAGATGGACCTTTCCAAATTCCCCTTGCAGGCTTATTCGCTTTAAAGATAAAAGTGCAAATTAGCCATCCCTCTTTCACCCCCTTAATAATTGAATTCACAAACTCTTATTTCCTACATTTCAGTCCTTGCCTGCTGTTAGGGTCAAGTATATGAAATTGCAAGGTTGTTAAACATGACTATGTCATCAAGCCGGTTTGGCAAAGGTTTTGAGGTAAATGTTTGAATCAGAATTGAACTGTATTAAGCCGATTTTGTCGAGATATGTGGGTAATTGATATTGGGGAGCCATTGACATCTCAAATTCTCAATAATCTAGATTTATAAATAAATAACATACATCATTACAAACCAAATTATCAATACTCACATTTAAAGTTGTAAACACAACATCTAGAATAACATCCAAACATTATATGAATATTCATATTTGAATCCCACAAATGACAACATTCAACGATTACCTGTTCATACTATTAGGCGCGCAAGAGAGCCGATGATGCAGGGAAAGGCGCCGACGATAACTTATTCATTAACTAGCTCGTTCCTCTTCATCTAAGAACTCTAGATTTCAAAGCAAACCCTTCCACCTTTTTCTCAATTCAGCCCGATTCATTCCTTATGCTACCTTCTTCACCAATCACCACCAAATCCTATAATTCTCCAAAACTCAAGCTAAACCTCTCATCCCTATAATCAACCTCCAATATCCCAAGAGGTTTAGCTTGGGTTTTGAGAAATGAGAAATTTGGTGGTGAAGAAGGGATTGAAGGTAGCAAAATGATCGAATCGAGCTAAATTGAAGAATGGTTGAAGGATTTGCTTGCTGAAAATCTAGAGCTCTTGATGAAGAGGAACGAACTAGTCAATGAACAAGCTAAGTTGATGTTTGATGCACATAGCATTAGGTAAACCGTAAACCTTTTGATTATTTTGTACATATGTTCTGTGCACTCTACCTCTGATAAACAAGACAGACATATCGATAATACATTTGCTTTTGAAGTGGATGTTTTCAGAATAAAATAAACATGAAAGAGTATAATCTTTCTAAATACTGGTTTAGAAGCCGGAACTGGAAGGCTTTAACCAAATTGCTTAATGGAAGAAGACTAGAAGAGGCTTCAGTTCAGCTTTGATCAGTAGCCAAATGCTTATGAAGGTCCTGGAAAGACACAGTGGCGGATCCCCTCGTTTTTGGCTTCTGTTGAGAATGGTGCTCTTTCCAGCCTGTCATGTAAATAACCTGTACCAAAAGAAAGTCGAGAGCAGGAGCTTTTCTATAACAGCATTCGTGTGAGGCGGCGAAGAAGTGTCAGCAAATGAGAAATGCTGACCTGGAACGTAGCCGGAATGGTGCCATCTTCTGCGCCAAACATCGATTCGTAGACTGCAGCAGTCGCCAATGCTGTTTCTCTCTTCAGAATCTGTTTTTTTACAAATAATAATAAGTGGAAATGTTGGAGAGAAGAGTTAAAATTGGTTTCTAGTGTTCTTACATTGCTTCGTTGAAGAAGAGCATTGGTTTCTCCCATTGCACGCAAATGATCTATCAGCTCTAGAGCTGCAAATCCAAGACAGAGAGTGAATGATTTCAGAGAAGAAACCCCTTGGACAGCATACCTCCAAGAAAACATAACTTAGTTCAAGAAAACCCCCAAATTTCATCGAACGGAATTTGCTCACCACTTCTGTACTTAACTGTGTACTCATCAACATCCACACCAGGGAGAGTGAAACCTGCCCTGGTCAACAAGTTGCCTGCATCACGAACCTGACACAACGCAGCAGAAACAAATCATTCAGCTTAATCTCGTGTCTTTACGACACAAGACTGCAGATAAGATTAAAACATGTAATGGAATAAACCGGATTAGGAATGATCATTCATACCTGAGCCAAAGGTGACATTCGAGGGCTGATGCCGCCTTCACGCTCCATCTGAGCCACAGTGCAGGCTATTCTCAGCTCCCTTATATGTTACAAATGCAGTGATTTGAATCAATATGCTAATATTTATTTAGCATCTCCTTAAAAAAAAGCATGGATAACAAAACATCCAAACAACCATACTTCAATGTTTCTCCACCTAGAATCGCTGCCAAAAATAGACCATCTGGTTTCAACGCCAATTTACACTGCCAAATAAAAAATGAACAAGAATTACAGCAACATGTAAGGAAACTGATGTTTAACACTGAGAAACATGAAAAGGAAAAGAAGGACGAAAAGACGGTAACATCCACCTGTATCATGGCTCCGGGAAGGTCATTCGTCCAGTGGAGTCCCAGACAACTGATCACCAAATCTACCGAACTTCACACAGCAGCAAAAACACAGAACCATTACACCACAAGATTCAACTCCCCTTCTACAAATTCTTTGAATCCAAATGAAAGATCCAACACAAGCATGCCAGCACATACACACCTTTCTTTCATGGGTAGAAACTCTTCATCACCAACCACAAATGAAGTTTCGATATTACCATTATTAGACGCACCCTCATTAGCCTGTCTACATGATTTGATCATGTCATGAGACGTGTCCATCATAATCAACTTTTCAATAGACCCTGGCAATGAAGAGAACCACAGATGGGGGCAAATCAGTGTCTAATACGCTCTACCGAACCTTAAGCACGAGAAGAAAAAATCAACCTTGCCCGCGTAATTGGCGTCTGATAGCTGCTAATGAACCTCCTAAGCATAATGCAGTCGGAAATGTCTTCTTACAATCCTACGAAAATGCTAGAGACGTTACGAACACGTTCAACCACTAGAACAATGGTAAAAGCTACTAAGCTCACTAAATCTCCGTCACAGAACCCTAATAGAAAATATTTCAAGTTCCCCCATTGGAGCAAACAAAAAGGGAGCTCATTTCATTTTCCCCAACTTGTAGGAACTGTGATTCGGTAGCATTAGAATTACCAACCTCCAAACGATCGAGTAGATTCTCAGCGACCGCATCTGCAAAAGGATCTTTCGACGTCGACAGCCAAGCAGCTCGATCGCGCTAAGCAAAGCCAGAAGCAAATCTTAAATCAAAACTGAAACCAACCTGCAATTCAAAAATTCGAAGAGCGCTCCAGATAATAATAATGGAAAAGAAGAATACTACACTTGTCTCCGCTTGAGTTCCCGATCGAAAATCTTGACCTTGGAAGCGCTAGGCAGTCCTCCTTCCTCCCCGTCGTAGCCCGTGCTCAATGAAGCGGATGCGAGGAGCTTGTAGGCTGCTCCGGCGGCGGTTGCTGTACGAGCTCTGCTCTTCAGATTCGCCGACGAAGCGGTTCTGTAGAGAAACGCTCCTCTCATCTCTTTTCTCTCCCTTCGTTCCGCCGGCGAATCGACGCAAAGGCTTTCCAGTCGCCTAAATCACGAACTGTACCGGCGGTGGTTGCTGTACGAACTGTACCGTTTTCGCGCTATAGAATAGTTAGCGAAGAATCTCTAGTTCGAGTGGCTATTATCTCACTTTCGTCACTAGTTGCTGCCATGTGACCTTCTTGGCCAATAACCCTGAAATCCATGAAAATTGAAAGGCAAAATTCATTTCAATAGTTATAACTTTGCACTATAGATAGATTCCGAGAAATACACAGAAATAGCCATTCCGTCCAATATTGTAACAGAAAGCATAACGCCTGTTGACTGGACAAATGGTCACAAATGACCGCGTTTAATTTGGTCTACGTGTATGCCACGGTGGAAAATGGAATTAATTATTTTTATTAATTTAAAATTACCCTACTTTACCAAATTTTTACCTTTTCGTATTCATTCTCTGCCCCATTCGTTCTTCTCAATTCCTCTTTGCAGAAGATCCAGCATAAACCCTAAATCCCCACTCTCACCTCGATTCTCTTTGCTGGTGACTGTGAATCGACGGCGAAGAGGAAGAGTCGATTGTATCGATCTTTCTCGGTGAAGGTCGAAACTACCGATTTCGGCAAAAACCCAGAAGAACGAAGCTCGAACCATAATCCGTTTTGGTGAGTACTCCTCGCCTCTGTTACTCCTTGCCCCTCGCTTCTGTTACTCTCACCTCTGTTTGCTTCACTCTCCTTTCTCCGTCACTTCCCACACAGTTACCCTCACCAGCAGCAGCTGCTGGAACCTCCCGCCGGCTAAACGCCATGGCCTGCTCAGTTACCTCCGCCGCTCTTATCTCCTCCATCCCGGCCACCAAATCCATTGCCTCTCCCTTATCTAAACCTTCCAAAACCCTAGCCCCTTTTCCCAACTCCTTTTTCGCTCCTCCGCTAACCTCTTCGACAGGAAGCGGGTGAGGTCGGTGCTCTGCCTCGCCGCCTGCGAATTGGTCGGGGGACAAATCCATGGCCATGCCCGCCGGGAGAAGGAGGGAGCGGATTGGGTGAGTTAGGGTATTTGATTCGTCGCTGTGGATGTTGGTTGGCCACGCTTCTGGTCGCTACGGAGCTAGTGGGTGCAGCCGGAGGATTGGCAGCGGAGAGAAGAAGAGTGGGGAAGGGATATGTCGTCGCAGGCGAAATCACATCGTCGTAGGCGGCAAGGGGATTTGGAAAGGCCAATTGCGTTGGGGAAGGGACGAACCCTCAAAGCTTTGGGGCCGAATAGTTTTTTGCTAGCGTGAGAGAAGAAAGAGAGAGAGAGCAGAGAGAGCAGAGAGTAAATAAAATTTAAAATAATTTCTTTCTTTCTAATGTATTTAATTTAATTTTTAGTAAAATTAATTATTTTTATTAAATGCTACGTTTTATATGATATGGCGCTGACGTGGAGTCCATAATTCGGCCACCTCAGCAACGCGAACATGTAACTAATGGCGTCCCTAACGACGTCACATTTAATAACAGAAATGGCTATAATTGTCAACGCATTTTCAAATTTTTGGCTATTTCTGTATATTTCTCTGAATCTGGCTATATTTGTCACAAAGTGCAAAGTTATGGCTATGAAAGTGAATTTTGCCAAATTAAAATAAACCCGCTTAATGAATAGTGTTCCCACAACTGTGGCTTTTAACATGAATTTCTCTTCTGGCAAAATTAGGGCGACAACACGAAATCCTCTTCAAATCGAAGAAGAAAACTCTCTGGACTTTTTCTAATGTGATACATTCTTATGATAGCATTCGCCCGCCCAATGCCTCCAATACCCATGTCCTCCAACATCCGGGCGATCCACAGGAACAGCTGCGCTGATAGCGGCGGCGGCGACGCCGGAAAGGGATCGTTTGAAGTCTCCGATTCTGACTGGGCGCAGGGAGTGGCTGAGCTGGGGAGTTTTCCTCATTTGGCTCAACACTACTAGGTTGCGTCCAATCGTCTACGGTTGGAAGATGTCGGAGTTGCTCTGGTGCAGCGATGGTGGGTTCTCCACTGGTATCGAAAATCCTCTCCAAATTCAGAGCCTCCACCTGAATCTCGAACATGAATCCTCCGTTTGGAATCGAAGAGAAGTGATCCCCTGCAACTGACATCATCTCCCGACGGCGTTAATCCAATGTCTTGGTGGTGGCGCCAAGAACTTGGAGGGAACTAACGTCAATTTCGGGCGGGAATCACCGGCTAGTGTGTTAAATTGGCTACTGTCGGAGGTATATAAAGTCACTCCCCCCAGCCTCGATTTCATTGTCCTCGGATCGTGTCCCTGTAAACGGAAAGAAGCGCCTGCCCGGAATCATCGCCCCTAAAGTCCTCCACGGATACGCATATCCCCTGCTGAGAATCAAATCCTTGACTCTGATTCTCCGCCGGAATCAATTCCCGGCAAACCAGCAAACAGTCCGGCGCTCATCACGAAGGCCCGTCGAACCGTTAAGGCAATTAATAAATTTGAAGGTTTTTTGAATTTTATTCAATTACTCCCAGTATTAGTGATTCAAGGCTGTGGCAGATTTCTCTCCGGCTTTCATTGCCGTGCAATTAATGGGTCCGGTTGGCCATTATTACTCGTAATGAGGATTAAGAAGAGAGAGGCTCTCTTAAAACGGCTCTGACTGATTAAGGCTTTAGTGGGCCGCCCCACCATTAGAATTAAAAGCCCCGACTTTTATGCCCTCTCTGTGGATCTTTAGTGGCTCTTAATGGGCCTGCATTTACAGGCCAATCTTGGGACGGTTTTGGCTTCAAATATGGCGCATGGTAAGCCTGAAATAATGAGGCTTTTAAAACAGGCCTATCACTGGCCCAAAATTGCCTCCCTTTTAATCTCCTCCCACCGTTCCCTTCAAGACACGGCCAGCCATTTTGATTCCCCTTCCCCTGCTCTCCTCCCCAAGAAAATTAAAAGAATAAAAATAAATTCAGAGCTTCTTCCTTTCACTTTTTCCCCAAAAATGGCTGCCCCTGTTGAATTCACTGATGAGGTTCTGGAGGCTGGGCTGAACAGAGCAAGGCTAAGTCTGGTGGGACGTCTCCTCTGTTCATCCCATCCATCCCGAATCAGAGCCCAACATATGGCCAATAACATTTGGGCCAAAAGAGCAGCAGTTACGGTATTGGATGCCGGGTTTGGATTGTTTCAATTTGTCTTTGCAAATCAAGCTGATTACAATGAAGCTCTGGGGAAAGCCCCTTGGTTCATACAATCGAAAATCCTCACATTCAAGAAGTGGGAGACTCCCTCGGAAGAGCTATTCCAGGAATTGGCCAGGGTGCCATATTTGGTTCAACTCTGGAACCTACCAGAGGAATACAGAACTGTGGCACTCGGTGCTCTACTGGCGTCAAGGCTGGGAGCTGTGGAAGATGCAGCCATGTACGCGGTCTGGGAAAGCCCCGGATGTGTCTTCAAAGCTCGCGTCAAAATTGATGTTTCGGCCCCGCTAGAACACAGGTTGGAAGCGAGAAAGAGGAATCCGGATGGTTCGTCCGGTCCGTCCTTCTGGGTGTCTTTGAGATACGAAGGAATCAGGACAGTGTGCTACCGATGCAGGAGAATTGGGCACAATCAGCACAACTGCCCCTTTGAACTAATCGCAAGAGACGACGGCTTCGGGCCTGAAATCATCGGGAATAAGACAGGGCCGAAAATCAATGAGCACTCCTACGCTTCAGTCCGCAATGGTGGACGAGGCAGGGGAAATAATGTCTGGCGACATTCTGGGCAAGCTGGCCGGCGGCAAGCTGGAGGGCGCCTCCTCCTTGAAGCACCGGTGCCTCGTCGAGATCAGGGACGGGATGGCAACCGGTCTCCTAATCCAACAGAAGGGAGGAACTCGGCACCCAGGGGACAAAATTCGGGCCCTTCTCATCTGATTGGAAGGGTGGCGGTTGGGCTTAAGAGGACAGCCCAAGAACTCAATGCTGGGCCGAGTAGGAAGGTTTGCTTCAGCAACCATGGGCCACTAAGGCTGGCCGAAATTGAATCCCCAATGGAGCCCAACACCTCCAACTTTTATGTGCAAGCAAATGGTGAGCCCACTTTGGAAAATCCAAATCCAATACAAATTCAGGAACCATCCAATTCCTACGGGTTAGGTAATTTATATTGTGATGAAAACCCAGAATTTCTATTTGAAGGTTTGGATGAAGCTAACACGTTTGGTTGTCAAGGTGCTTTGGGCCTACTTAATCTTGAGGCCCACTTATTATCTTCAGACTCTGCAGTGTCATGCTCTCCGCTGGGCCCGGTGGAAAATGGAAAATCAAAAGGCAAAGCCATCTTGATAGAATCCTCGGAATCCCCGATTGTCTACACTCGAAGAAATGTGGGTATTTGTATTCAGGAGCCAGAAGAAGGCGTGGTGGATTCAATCCCCAAAACCATTCAAGAAGATAGGGTGGAGGAAGCCAACCCCAAGTGGCCCCAGTCCGATAAATGAATGTTTTCGCGTGGAATTGTCAAGGTGTGAGGAGTCCCTTGACATTCCAAACGCTTAAAACTCATAGATGTCTATCTAAATCGTTTCTTTTTCTAAGTGAGACAATGTCTTCTAGAAGCACGGTGTCCTCTTTTATTTCTTCTTTAGGGTTTTCTGATTGTCATATTGTCGATCCTTCCGGTATGTCGGGAGGGTTAGTTTTTGCTTGGCCACGGTTGGCTTCAGTGTCTGTTATTGGATCCACATCCTTTTTTGTGGCAATTTCTGTCATCAATAATAACTCCTCTCTCTACGGTGCGTGCCCTCGGTTTGTCTTGATGGGGGTTTATCTTTCTTACATCATCACGAAAAGGCAAGAACAATTAGAGGAACTAAAACGATTCTCCACTGGTATCTCTGACCCTTTCCTTATTATTGGAGATGTCAATTGCTCCTTATTTCCCTCTGAAAAACTAGGGGGTGCAACGTGGCGAACGGATAAAGCTCGACCCTTATGGGATTTCCTTCACCAAACTGGCCTCTTTGAACCTCCTTTCCAAGGACCCAAATTTACTTGGACGAACCGAGGCAGAAATGGGATCACAATAGAACAAAGAATTGATAGAGTCTTTGTATCCCCCTTGTGGATGAATTATTGGCCAAACTCTACATTGTTCCATCTCTCTGACAAAGGATCAGATCATAGGCTCCTTCGCATGACTACTAGTGTCATAACCCCTCTTTTTAAAAGACTTTTCCGATTTGATATTCGTTGGACTGCAATGCCAGAGGCAGAATTAATCATAACATACGTTTGGAACTCGCAAGTGGCAGGGTCAAACCAGTATTGTTTATTCTCTAAGCTGCTACGGGTAAGACACACGCTAGTCGATTGGTGTAAAGGAGGGCAATCCAACTCAGCCAGATTGATCAAGGACTTTGGTACCGCTTTGGAAAAGGCTAGGAATGCCCAAATAGTGGATTGGAACCTAGTACGATTCTTGGAAGAGAATTTGTCTATTCAATATAAAAGAGAAGAGCTTTATTGGAAACAGAAGTCTCGTACTAATTGGTTAAAAGTGGGCGACAAAAATACCCCATATTTCCATTTAGTTGCCTCGTCAAGGCGCTTAAATAATGTGATTTGGGGTCTTGAGGACGAAAGAGGACAGTGGTGTACTTCTGAATCAGAGAAATGTGGCATAGCTGATAGATACTATCGAGGACTATTTCAAAGTCAAAATCCGAGCGATATAAATCTCTCCAGTCTAGTTTTCACCAATTATCTTACTGAAGAGCAGAATTTCGGGCTGATAGCTCCTATATCCGTTGAGGAAATAAAAAATGTGGTATTCAGTATGGGGAAAACCCAAGCCCCAGGACCAGATGGATTCACAGCCGGTTTTTTTCAACATTATTGGCCCCTGGTTGGTCAAGACGTTACTCAGGCAGTCCTATCGTTCTTTCGTACAGGGAAGTTACTGAGAAGCTTTAATCGGACTTGGATATCTCTGGTACCAAAAGGATCGGAAGTTCGCACTATGAAAAATCTCAGACCGATTAGCCTTTGCCAGGTGGTCTACAAGATCATTTCTAAAGTGCTGGCCAATAGACTTAGCAAAGTATTGCCCTCGATCATTTCTCAATCCCAAAATGGTTTCATTAAGGACCGCCAGATTGTGGATAATATTATGATAAGTCATGAGATCTCCCATCATATTAAAACATTGTACTCAGGATCGAATTGCTGGATGGCGCTGAAACTGGATATGGAAAAAGCGTATGATCGAATTGAGTGGCCATTTCTGTTTGAAATGATGAAGGAGTTGGGGTTCAATAGCCAGTTTGTTTCATGGGTCCAGGAGTGTGTCACCACTGTCTCCTATTCCATCCTAGTTAATGGCACCCCGTCAGCTTATTTCAGACCCTCGAGGGGACTACGCCAAGGGGATCCTCTGTCTTCTCTATTATTCGCCATATGTACGGAAGGCTTCTCTGCAATGATAAATCAAGCAGTAACCTTGGGATTTTTGGAAGGAATAAGAATACGCCAGACCTGCCCAATGGTCTCCCACCTCTTTTTCGCTGATGATTCTTACCTCTTTGTTAAAGCAACTAGTGAGTCATGTTCCAACTTATTATCCCTGTTCCAAGGATACGAAAGACTAAGTGGGCAAAAGGTTAATCTTTCCAAATCCGCAGTCTTATTCAGTAAGAATACTAAGAGTGAAGATGCAAGCTACATGGGGTCAAGGTTGGGAGTAGGGGCAATAGGGGCACAAGATTCTTACTTAGGTCTACCCTCCCTTATCCCAAGAACTAAGAAGGATACCTTTCTTTTCATTGAAGAAAAGGTTGGGAAAAAGTTGCAAGCCTGGAAGCAACGTACCCTATCCAAAGCAGGCAAGGATATTTTAATCCGAACCTCTGCCACTAACATTCCAGTACATGGCATGATGTGCTTTAAGTTCCCTGTAGAAACATGTAAGCGGTTAAATGGATTATTGGCAAGGTTCTGGTGGGGCTCTACTGCTAACTTGGATCATCCAATTCATTGGATATCGTGGAAAGGTTTAGCTCAAAGCAAATTTCAAGGAGGATTAGGATTCAGAGACTTTAGAGCTTTCAATCAAGCTCTGCTCGCAAAACTTTGTTGGCGTATCTGGACTAATCCCAACTCGCTCATTAGCCGGATGTACAAGGGAAGATATTTCAATGGAAGTACGATTATGGAAGCCACCATTGGCTCTAATCCTTCATGGGGTTGGAGAAGTATCTTATTTGGGAGAGAACTGCTTGTGCAAGGCATGCGGTGGCAGATAGGTGATGGTACTAAAGTGGAGGCCTTCAAAGATAATTGGCTACTAGCAGATAAGCCATCCCCTCCTATCCTCAGGAGACATGAAGTTAATTTTAACCCAAGGGTGTCCTTTTTCATCACAGAAGATCGGCGAGGTTGGCATATTCCTAGATTAAGACATTGGTTTGAAGAAAAATCAGTCGGGATCATTCGTAACATGGTAGTTCCCATGCTTCAACAAGAGGATAAGTTAGTGTGGCACTTCACTAAAACTGGAACCTACTCAGTCAAAACAGGGTATCATCTTGCCTTGGACAATTTATTAATTCTCACCCAAAAAGCGACGGTTTCCATCTTTGACCCTCCATTTTGGAAAAAAACGTGGTCTCTTGACGTTCCACCTAAGCTTAAAATCTTTATTTGGCAATGTCTGAGAGTTATCTTGCCAACTATGACGGCCCTTAAATCTCGAGGAGTAAGATGTCGAGCTAGGTGCCCAGTATGTTGGGTTGGCAAGGAAAGCATTGAGCACCTCTTTTTCCATTGTCCACTTGCTCTCGAGCTCTGGCATATGGTGGGTTTAAGCTGTTTAATTATTTCCGCCCCAACTGAGAACTTCGGTATTTGGTGGCGACATGTTATGAACTCGGCGAACTTCCAAATCCACTATCTCCCCTGCATTTGCCTACTTTGGAGAATTTGGAAATCTAGAAATAAAGTGGTCTTTGAATTCACTCAACCACTAGCCTCTTCGCTTGCCCGTCAATTCTTCTTCCAAGTCCAAGAATTCTCCTCAATCTCCTCCCAGCCCCTAGCCTCTCTGCCCCGCCCTCAATCGTCACCTCACCTTGTCAGTTGGATTGGCCCCCCAGATGGTTTTATCAAGGTTAATTTCGATGCCGCTGTTCGTGCCCCGGATTGCTCGTCAGGACTCGTTGCCCGAGGATCAGATGGGCAAGTTTTTTTGGCCTTGGGGTTCCATCACCCTGGAGTTTCCAATCCTTATCTGGCTGAACTTTTGGCTGCAAGGGACGCCATCTCTCTTGCCATCTCTCGTAGGCTTCCCCGCGTCATCATTGAAGGAGATTGTGAAGTAGTCATTCGTCAACTTAATGGGAGATGCTGTGAAGATTCTGTGGGTGGGCCCTTGCTTCGTGATTGTGTTCAGTTGGTGAGGTCCTGTTCCTCGTGTTTTGTTTTCAGTGCGGTTCCGAGGACTGCCAACTGGGCTGCCCATAGAGTGGCAAGACAAGCCCTGTTGCTGTCCCCTGTAGAGATAGCGTCCTTTGATTTTGTAGGGTGGTTGCTTTTATAGTTTGTTTTGGGGTTCGGGTAGAGGTTGAACTTTTGTATCTCGATCTTACTTGGAAAAAAAAAAAAAAAAAAAAACTGTGGCTTTTAACATACCAAAACAACAACAATGATTCATTGTTTGAACTAATCTTGATTGAAAATTACTCTTTCTCCCTCTTAAGTTACGGAATCAAAAGTTAAAACCAAGAGGTGGTGAATGTTGTTGTCGTCGTTAATCTATCAGTTACACCTTAACGAGTTGATTAGATAGAAGAAGACATGCCTTACGAGAAGAAACTCAATTTCTAAACGGTTTAGCCTGCAATTAGGATCTATAATTACAACTAGATTACCAGATACAGGCATGGTTTCAGTTTTAACCGACGGCAATTATCAACAGCCGTCAAAATGTTCGATCCTAGATGTGTTCCACATAGCCTAGCCAACACACTAAAATAGCAGGAACAAGAAAGCTAAGCCGAGAAGCCGTGGCAATGGCTTACAGATACAGAGCTTACCAAACCCAGAATCTATCCTACTGGCAAACTATTTACCTTTGTTTCACTACTATGCCCTCCAAAATCGATTCTCGGAAACGTGCTGCTCTTTCGGTTTTTGGTTTAGAGTAAGAGCAATGGCTACCGTGTGAAAACTTGGTATGGCGAACAATGCAATGCCGCATGGATCTACAGTTCGCCAGCAAGCTACGAAATATGCATCCAATTGCTAGGATGGTGCGTCGACTCGGTAGTGTGTTCAACAGATCATCTACAGTGTAGCTCTAACTATCTCTTTCTCTTGGTCCCAGAAGAGCCTGACCCGCCGCCACCTCTTCCCCTGCCTGCGGGTTTCTTTTCTGCTGAACCAGCAGCCGATGATGCCCCTTTACCTCGACCTCCCGGTTTCTTCTTCCCGTTCGGATTTTGGGCGCCCTTCAGTTCCATCTCGACTTTTATTCCTGCATGATATTATAGCCAACGACGCAGAAAATAACAGCGTGCAGTTTCATCAATGTTCATCACATATGTAAGAATCTGTAGAAATCTGGCTCAGCTTATCAATATGAAAAATACTTCGAGAATGGACTACTTGAAAAACGACTACTGACCAACAGGTTGACTCACCTTTGGAGTTTAAGCTTTGAAGGCTACTCTGCAGTTTCGCCCCATCAACGGAGCTTTCTGGCAAATGGACCATGAAGAACAGTCAAGTCAGTCAGAATTGGCAGCCATGTATAACCACTTGATCAACAAACATATGGTGCTATCTGCTTCTGTGTAGTAATAGGCTATGTAATAGCCACAACAAACGTGAAAAAGACTAATAATAATTTACCTGGATCCTCCGTGTCAGAAGAGTTCTCTTCATCACTCGCATCAACTGCATCAAGATTTTCCTCCCCTAAGCCTTCATCAGATGGTTCCAACATTGCTGCAATGCGTTTCTTAGGGGCCTTTTTAATCCCAAGAAATGGGACCATATCTGCAGCTCGTACCAATCCTGATTTGTTTTTGTATGCTCTCGTCAAAGCTGCTTTAACGGCTGATGGAACACCATCCAATGGATTTGGGTTCCCCTGATACAAGACACCAATAATATGTAAGACAATCGTAAGAGTTCAATAAGCATAATCAAGCTCCAGCATGCCAACAAAGTAGCTGGTGCCTACCTTAAATTTAGCCAGCTCCATAATTGTCTCCATGTCTTCCTGGCTTATTGAGTATTCATTCATGAACCCCACAACCTTGTCTACTGCTTCATCCTGGATCATGTTTCAGAAAGATTGGCGGGATTAGATACATGGGCCTGAAAATTTGCTCCTTCATAGTAGAATAGCAACAAACAAAAGGTAGAGAAAGGAAGCACACACCTTGGGCAGCATCCGCAGAGGATCAGTCAATTGTTTCAGGAGAAGAGTAATATAATAAAGTCGAAGAGCACCCCTGGTACAATCAGTCATTTATTATTATTATTTACTTTTTTATAGAAGTCACTTATTAATTTGATTAGGTTTCTTAACCAAAAAATTTATAAACAATTAACAATGTGAATAGAAGAAGCTACATTTAAAAGTTACAAAGGAAAATATAGATACTAAGACCATCAATAGTACCCCTCCGGTTACATGGTAAAACGCAAACTAAAGAGAAAATTGCAACTGCTTCAAGTTTTTTACCTCCGCATATTTGACTGCCCGGATGCAAGGAGATGAACATGTAGATCCTCCAATAGTCTCACATTCTTTCCCATGGTTGAATTCTTTCCTAGCCAGCCTCCAAACCTATTAAAATTCCTTTCCCCCTGAAAAAGCAAATAGATCAAATTACAAGCAAATAAGATAATAACTAGGCTGCCGTACTACAATGGCAAGACATAGAACTCACCAGTTCAAGGGTTTCCCTCTGTCCATGTAATAACGCAGCACTGGTAGGGAGAAACAACAAATAATGCAACACTTAACAGAAGAAGACCAAACAAAGTCAAGAAAACAACTCTTAGAGATGCATATAAGTTACGTACGGGATGATGCAAGATGCTAGGGAGCTGGCCTGGGAGAGCTGCCATTGTCTATGTCTTCGGATCTGTACATTTACTAAATCGCCATCCGCAATCGAGTCTGCAGCACGAGCAATCAAGTTCAAGCGTTTTATCCCATTCTCATCCTTCCCAGCCACACTAGGCCTGTAGTTAATATAGTTTTCCTGTCAATAACAAACAGGATGTCTGAGCTGCACGTATTTGACTACATATAAATCGGTCAGTTTCAATGTAGTTGACTTTACCCATTCACCAACTTCCGCCTAAAGTTTCAGCTCCTTGCGATTTAAATTTCAATGTGAAAAACAAAGCTAGAAATACGAGTTCATCGGGAAATGTTTTTGAATTAAAGAAGACTCATAAAAGGCCTCAGAACGAAATGGGAAGTTAAATTCACAAGAACATCTCAACTGGAACATTTCCCAGAGCAACTAAGAATATATCACAGCATTACCTACCTTTGATTTGATATGGTCCTGATACATACATTATCTTATGGCCATGAGACATTACATATATTCTCACCAAGTATGGTTAAGGATACAAATACCTGAATTAAAAGAGGGACCAAATCTGGATCACTCATGCTGAGGTCAATCCGCTCATCCATTCGCAGCTTCCCTCCGTTAAAGCCAAGCAGCCTAAACCCATCATCAATGAGTTAGTGCAAGATTTCTTAATTCTAAGAAAGTAAATACAGGACTGGGAAACAAATTACTATTAATTGGCAAGCTCAAGAAAGCGGCCCGACCATGCACTCAATTCTATCAACACTGCAAACCCCAGGTGAAAGGCAGAACCTCTTGGTAAATTCAGTTTGAAGGTTAGCCAGCAAAAGATGTAATAAAAGAATAGGATTTCAACCAAAGGTATCAGACCGTCTAGGTGAAGGAGTAGCGAAGTGTTCAGTTGCTTTAACTTCTTAGATACGAGGGAGAGCTCACTATTTCTAATACTAAGAGTGTGTCTCTTGCATACACAAAAAGGAGTAGCGAAGGGTTCAGTTGAATTAACTTCTTAGATATGAGGGAGAACTCGCTATTTCTAATACTATGACTGCGTCTCTTGCATACACTTACTAAAATGCAGATAATCTTGAATGACTGTCGGGCATTTTCAAGTGGCGAAAGCATAATGTAGTCATTTCTTCTTTGATTCCGCCTGTAGGCGCTAACAAATAAGTAAAAATCAGTGGCATCCTTTTCAAATGCTTAAGCTAAAACAGAGGCTTTCAACCAAAGATATCAGACAGAGTAGGTGAAGGAGCATGAAACACATACTTATCAACGGCTGTAAATGGTGAGATATCTTCATCTTTTGCACTGCTTAGAAGGCGCTGCCTCACATCGCCATACTGAATAGTCGACATGGAAAGACTCATGTACTGCAACTGATTTACTGCCATCCGCAAGTCTCCGTTCACTCTTTCTGCGAGTTCCTCAAGGGCGATCTGGTAAAGAAGGGTGGATAGAGCCACAAAGATAGAAAGAGTCATTCATATGTTAAGTGCAACATTAAGTGAAATCACCCAGAATTGATAGCTGAACATTTAAGAACTGCTTATGACACCCTATGTAGCACCTAACAATAAACACAAACCACCCTAACTAAAAAAAAGTATTTAAGAACTGCTTATTGATTCTTAGGAACACATGTCAATGACAAATGAGACTTGTGATCACATTATCGACAATAGCAACAAGGTAACAAAATTGAACTCATTAATTGAATATATAGAAAAATGAAGTTTGACAAAGTATCCATATGCCTAGTCAAAAATATATTTGCAGAAGCAATATGGAATTTACCTGGAAATTCACATTTTCATATTACGGGATAGCATCCACACTAAAACAAATTCACACAGCAACATAAGAGCATTTACCTCGTCAGCTTTAAGTCCTTCAGCATTTGCAATCTGCATTAACCTCTTTGCCATCTACCAATGTACCAAAATCCCGTGAGTCCAACAGAAAGACCAAGTATAGCGAGCAAAGGTCAAGGAAGAAGAAAGAGATCTCCAATGGAGACCCAGCATGCTTATAGCTAGGACAGAATGGACACTTCAAATTCGATCCATCTAGTTTCAAAAAGTCTAGACAATCCAAGAATAAGATAATAAAAGAAAAGAAACAGTTGCTAGACCAGAATATGGAGAGTAAAGAAATGCATAACCTGTTGTTTTGTAGGTTTGCGGAAGTTCAAAGGCAGGCAGTAATTTACAAGACTTTTTAGCTTCTGACTGTATCGATCGTTACAGATACAGATAATAGGCACTTTGGAGATCTTTATGCTAGCAATAAGATCAGCAACACCACCTCTATCTCCTGCAGACATCCCATCTACCTCATCCATGATGAGAACTGTCATTTCATGTTGTAGCCTACAATTTGAAAGAATAAATCTCATGTTCGAGGCAGCAAAACAATACATCTTTCACACTGCGATTGTGAAATATGGGATAAACCTGTCCATTTTAGAGCCCAGAGATTCATTGTTGACAAGTTCCTTTATGGAATTTGCATTGCTTCCACCAATTCCTTTGACTATTTTGGAATCCGCCTTTCCACGACTGTCACTTGCATTGACCTAATCATCAGATAAAGCAACTGAATAAGTTGCAAAAATTAAGCTGGCCTTGAAAAGGAATAAACAGGGGGGGGAAAAGTTCAATAGGAATACGATAGAGAAAGATAAGTCACCTCAATTGCTTGAAAACCAAGCATCTTACAGACCAGCTTTGCAGACGTTGTTTTCCCTATGCCCGGTGTTCCACTTAGTAACACGGCTTTCTTGGCATTAGAATCACTTTGGTTTTTACCCTTAACCTTTTTTCCATTTCCAAGGAACTGATCATTCCAGCTCTTTAACCAAGTATGAAGCTGATTAACCTATTCATGTTTAGAAGAATAATAATTATCACCCCAATCATACAGAGAGACATGTAGAATGCACACATCTGACTGATATTATAGAGCCATACCAAAGACTGATTTCCAACTAGGTCATTCGGAACTTTAGGCCTATATTTTTCTGTCCATGGCAGTGAGGAGTGCTCAACGACTTGCCTTTTCTTGGCGGGAGAAACAGCTTTGGCTGAAGCCTTACCAGCAGAACAATGTGCTAAAGAGTTTCCTATAAACAAGAGAAGGCAAAGCATTACCTACTACTTTTGTACGAGAAGTTTGACCATAAGCAGATCAAAGCAGGGGGGGAAAAATCACACCCATCACCACCCAAGAAATGATGGAGAGAGAACAGGAGAGAAAAGAATCTCCTCTTTTATTCATCAAGAAGTCAAGCAAACAAGAAAGTGATGTAATTCTAAGCAAAATCATCTTGAGAACACATAAACCACTCAAAAGCCATCTGCAGAACATGTAGCTTCAAGCAAGCATGAACAGGAGAGACACGCTGACAGTACTAGGGTTTCTGGTTTGATTCCAGAAAGAAAATATAGGGTTCAACATCTTCTTGTATTCATCTTAGTTCAGCTTTAACCCTCTAATACCACGAACACAATGGGCAAGATGGACCAAGTCCAAAGCAGATATAATAAGCAACAGGTTAGTATATCACTGCAAGAAACATTAATGCAGCTACTGATGCTAAACTGTCAAAACTTCTACACATTACGAACCATCATCACGAGCACCGTCCTCAAGAAACAAGTTAGTTCCACATTCTACCTATCTAGAGATGGAACGATTTCATGGTAAAATATGATATATACAGGTGAATGACAGGAAACATCACGGCCAGGCCCCAGGGCCAAGATTAAGCCAATTTAAAAAATCAAATATTTTAATAATTGAGGAAAAGAAGTTCAATATATGATACCCTTCACTTCTGCTTTTAGAGGACTTTTCTTGGGGAGGGGTGCAGCTTTCTCCGCAGAACCTTTTAGCCCTTCTTTTGCTGGCACCTTTGTAGATTTTGATGAGCGGATCTTATCAAAAAGACCATCCTCCGTAAGGAACGGAGTGCTGCACATGTAGCCCTCAGATCAGGCAACTTGGAAACAATCAGAAACTTGAAAAACAAAAGTAAAATATTCAGTTTAGAAATTAAAATACCCAAGTTCCTTAGCTTTGGCAGATTTTCGCCCCTCGATATCCTCGTCACACAGAAGGAAACTCTGCAAATGAACATCATCAGTAACATGGCAATATGACTACACAGTGAAACTAGTAAAAATGGAAAAGGGGAAGACCGTTTTCTTGCTGACAGATCCAGTAATGCGACCTCCATGGCGTTTAATCAAATCTTCTGCTTCTTCTCTTTCCAAACTGTAAACAGAGCAAATTTCATGACAGATAAAGCAAGCATGAGAAGCAGAAGAAATACAAACCCCAACACCAGACATACAATCTTGACACTATGGATGCTTTAATGAATGAAGACAAATGTAAGGAGTGAACTCTGAATTCAGAAAACAGACCGTGAGTGACAGACAACAAGAGTGAGTACCTGTGAAGAGTGCTACTTTAACATATGAAACAAGCATAAGGAGCTAACTATGAATTCAGAAAACAGACCGTGAGCGACTGAATAAGGGTGAGTACCAATCAAGAGTGCCACTTATTACAAACGTTAAACCAGCTAAGCAGTCGGGAGCACCCTCTGGGACTTCCTAAAATAAATATAAGAAAACCAATAACGTAAGTGGATCACACTCCATAACTAACAGCACAAAAGACATATTTGCAATGCTTTGCACCTTTTCTCCTTTGTGTGGAGGATCTTTCCTTTCACCGAAGTTCATAAATCCACCACGGCCACCGCCTCTGCCTCGTCCACCAGCTGAAGTCCCAGCTGGGCCTCTACCACCACGACCTCTTCCACCAGCCTTAGGAAGTTGTTCAGTGCCCTCAACTTCATCCTCGTCACCCGCATCATTTTCTAAAGCCTTCTGGCTGGCCCCTCTTCCTCTTCCACCAGCTGAACGCCCCGTTGCCGCTCTACCACCACGACCTCTTCCACCAACCTTAGGAGGTAGTTCAGCATCCTCAACTTCATCGTCGTCACTTTCATCAATTGCTACAGCCTTCTGACTGACCCCCCTTCCAGACCCACTCTTCAATTTCTTATTAGGGGTGGCCTCAACAATGACCTTTTTAGGTGGCACCACAAAGTCATATTCATCGGCATCATCAACTTTCTGAACCTTCCTAGGAGGTGTTGTTTTCACAGATGGATTACCATCACTCTGAGCCTTTCTCTTTGCCGGGGTTTTCACCACCTCTTTTTCCTCTTTCGGCTTCTGTTTATCCGCAAAGTATTTGCTGGTTTTCCTTCTACCAGCACTTTCCTGTTCACCCTTCAACTAAATGGTAGACAATGAAACCATCAGGGGATGCACTCTTTGCTTGTTCACAAAAGGGGTAGCATTGGTAGCTTTAGCTGGACAAAAAATTACAAAATATCTAAAGGGGCAGTTTGCATCAAGGTGCTGAAGCTAAACCCATGTGGTATAAGCCTCATCTAACGCCACTCAATTCACATTTCATTCTTCTAAAGACGTTGACAAGTGTAAACAAAAATTAGAGAAAGAGAGAGAAGATACTCACAGGAGGTTCATGACGTGACTCCAATGGTGAATGTTCATTCTCTTCATCAGCTGACGCTGGTTGTGCTGGATTTGCACTGCCGTTGCTCTTGTCATGTGGCTTCATCAGCCACTTTCTAATGTCTCGTTGCTTGATCAATGCCCAAAAATGCAGTTCAAACAAAACAATCAGATTCTACCAAGGGAGCTAGCTCACAGGGGAAAGGGGGGAAATTCAGAAAACCTAACGACTCACCATGCTTTAACTGACTTGGGTTTCGGCACCGCCGGCGAGCGAGCGAGCTCACGGGCAATGTGATCAATAGAGTGTCACAGCCGGGGTGGAGAGTCTCGAGAACTCGACGGAATAGCAATGGCGATTTCCTTTGCGGCGGAATGTTTGGAGATGCTGGGCTGGAGGGAAAGGTTGTTACGCAGCTGAATGGTAAAGTAAGAGAGAGAGATAGAAGAGAGAGATAGAAAGAAGAGGGAGAGCAGATTGTATTATTTCCAACGTAAACTGAACAAGTGGGACCGGCTCTACTTATACGATCCGTTTTGCCCAATACATCAACACTCCAGCTTCTCACTCTCGTCCTCATTCTTTTATTTATCTACAATTAAGTCCGGTCTGTTACAGGTCTCCCTCCTTCACTGAAGACTTGTCCTCAAGTCTGGAATTCTGGATACTTGGCTTTAAACTCATCAAGGAACTCCCAAGTAGCATCTGCAGCATCCTGATGAGACCATTGGACGAGCACCTGGGTAGCAGCCTTGTTGTCACGAGCGACCACTTTCCTGGCCAGGATCTCCATGGGCTCCACCTTCAAGCTTCCTTGGTTGTCATAATCGGGCAAGGCGGGTTGGACCATCACCTGCGCTCCTGCAGCTTTCTTAAGAAGGGAAACATGGAATACAGGATGGATAGAAGAGTTTGGCGGCAGCTGCAGTCTGTAAGCCACGACACCGATCTTCTTAAGAATGAGGAAGGGTCCATAATATTTGGCAGCCAACTTCTGTGCAGTCCTTGTTGCCACTGTCACCTGTCGATAAGGTCTAAGCTTCAAATACACCATGTCACCTTCTGCAAAGACCCTCTCAGTACGATGGCGGTCCGCCATCTGCTTCTGTCTGTTCTGAGCCATAGCAAGATTCTCCCTAATGACCTTGATCAAGTTCTGCTGCTGTTGAAGCTTTTCCGCAACTGCTGCCACTGAAGTGGATAAGGGATTCCTGACTTCAAACTGCGAAGGGGGATAACCGTAGAGTACCTCAAATGGAGTCAACTGCAGACTGCTGTGATAGTTGGTGTTGTACCACCATTCAGCAAGAGGAAGCCAAGTACTCCACTGCTGCGGAGAATGATGTACCATGCTCCTCAAATAGTCTTCCAAGCATCGATTTAACCTCTCTGTTTGGCCATCTGTTTGGGGGTGATAAGCTGTTGAATAATGGAGATCCACTCCTTGTAAGTCAAACAACTTGGTCCAGAAAGAGCTGGTAAAGACAGCATCTCGGTCTGATACGATTGTTTGGGGCATTCCATGAAGTTTAAAGATTCCCTCGAAGAAGATTTGAGCTACACTGCTGGCTGTATATGGCCTTGTCAAACCAAAGAAATGCCCATACTTTGAAAACCTATCCACCACCACAAACACAACCTCCTTCCCTGCAGACTTGGGCAATCCATCGATAAAATCCATTGAGACATGCTGCCAAGCTCTCTCGGGAATTGGCAGAGGCTGCAGTAAGCCAGGATAGGGAACATTTTCAGACTTGCATCTTTGGCATACATCACACACTCTCACAAACTCTTTAACCTGTAGTTTAAGGCCAGGCCACCAAAAATACCGCTTCAATCTCAAATAGGTTGCCTGCACCCCCGAATGACCCCCAATTGGAGAATCATGGAACAACTTTAACAATTTAGCTCTCATATCCCCCACAGAACCAACATAAAGAGCTTCCTTGTGATAGAGTAATCCCTGCTTTACTGAATTAATCCGAGGACCAACAAAAGGAACTGTTGCTTCTAGCATCAGATTCTGAACATCAGTATCACCTACATAGGTTAGTTCCAGTTCACTCAACCAAGCTGGCAGCACAGCCGAGATGGCTTGACACTCAGCCTTAGTTGCCCCTCCAACTTGAAACTGAGGATGCCTGGACAATGCATCAGCCACCCTATTGAATCTGCCTTGCCTATATTTGATCTCAAAATCTAACCCAAGCAACTTAACAAGACCCTTCTTTTGAATGTGAGTGTGGATCTTTTGGCCAAGTAGGTGTTTAAGACTCTCGTGGTCCGTGAGGATGGTGAAAGTCCTGCCTTCCAAATAGTGACGCCATTTAGTCACAGCCAGCAACACTGCCAAGTACTCCTTCTCATAGGCGGATAACCCTTGCTGCCGTAGTCCCAGTGCTTGACTATGATAAGCAATAGGTCTGCCCCCCTGAGACAGGACAGCCCCGATACCCACATCACTAGCATCCGTTTCCAGCTGAAATGGAAGGGAAAAATCAGGTAACGCGAGCACAGGAGCTTGGGACATAGCTGTTTTGAGCATATTAAAGGCTCTATCAGCAGTAGCAGACCAAAGGAAACCATCCTTCTTAAGCAATTCAGTGAGAGGCCTGCTGATTGCTCCATAATTCTTCACAAATTTACGGTAATAGCCAGTTAGACCGAGGAAACCACGCAACTCTTTGATGTTCTTGGGAACAGGCCATTTAACCATGACCTCTACTTTGCTGGAATCAGTCGCCACACCCTGCTCATTGATGACGTGACCCAAATAATCCACCTCTCTTTGAGCAAAAGAACACTTGGATGGCTTAGCAAATAGGGAATGTTGGCGGAGGATTTGAAGGGTTTGGGACAAGTGTTGACAGTGAGAAGTTTGGTCAGGGCTATAGACAAGGATGTCGTCAAAGAAAACAAGGATAAATTTGCGAAGGTAAGGGCCAAAAATTTGGTTCATAAGGGCTTGGAACGTGGCTGGGGCATTGGTCAGCCCAAAGGGCATGACTTTGAACTCGAAGTGGCCGTGGTGGGTACGGAAAGCGGTTTTATACTGGTCAGCGGGGTGCATCCTAACCTGATGGTAGCCCGACAGGAGGTCAAGCTTGGTAAAATACTTGGCTCCTCCTAACTCATCTAACAGGTCATCAATAACGGGGATAGGAAATTTGTTTTTGATAGTAATGGAGTTAAGCTGGCGATAGTCAATACAAAAACGCCAAGTGCCATCTTTTTTAAGCACTAAGAGGACAGGAGAAGCAAATGGACTTTGGCTAGGTTGGATGAAGTCAGCTGTCATCATTGCATCACACAGTTTTTCTACTTCTATTTTTTGGGGAAGGGGATAACGGTAAGGTCGGAGATTAACAGGGGAGGATCCAGGTTGTAAGGGAATGGTATGGTCACAATCACGGGACGGGGGAAGGGAAGTGGGTTTGCCAAAGACATCCTTGTATTCATCAAGAATAGGTTGCACAAAAGAGGGTGGAGTAGTACCTGAAGGTGTAGCAGTGGTCATGGAGAAGATGTGGCCTGTCCAAGATGCGCCCTTCTTCTTAAAGTACTTCTGTAGGCTTTTCCCAGACATATTTTGACAATTCCCAGTCTCCTGAACCCCATACAACTCAACCTCCACTCCATCCATGTCAAAGACCAGCTGCAAATTCACAAAATCGAATTTGACTGGACTAATGGTACGCAACCAATCCAATCCCAACACCAGATCATTGGATCCTAACTGCAAAATCCGAACATCAAACTGGAACTGAACCTCCTGCATTGTCCAAGTAAAATCCCTGCAGACTGCATTACTTAGCAATACAGTTCCATCGGCCAATTTAACCCTCAAGGGAGTAGCCCCTTGTAATTCACAGCCTAATTCAGCAGCCTTCGTAGCATTGAGGAAGGTGTGGGTACTCCCTGTGTCAACAAGGACCATCAAGGATCCCTTCTTCACCTTACCCTTGATAACCAAAGAGTTAGCAGTGACACCACTGCTGAGGGCTTGCATAGTAACTTCAATTAACCCTTCTTCCTCTTGCTGTACAGGGCTCTCCACAGTATCCTCAAAGATACTATCATCCTCATCACTCCAAGGTTCCGGTTCCACAATATCTCCTTCAGCAGCCTGCAAAGCATTCAATTGACGCTTGGCCTCACAAACATGGCCATAGAAATAACGATCCCCACATTTGTAACAAGCTCCCTTAGTCATGTTTCCCTTGTTACCATTACCATTAGCAGGTGGAGTGGTCTTGGCTGGAGGAGGTTTGGAAGGTTCCCACTTCCTGCCATTAGAGCCCGAAGAAGAAGCACCAGGAGTAAAACCGCCAGTGGGACGAGGCAGGGGACCTCGGAGCTTCTTTCGACGAGCTTCGTTGGAAACTTCCTCCAATCTGGAAAGCTGAAAAGCATGGGCCAAGGACCGAGGTTGCCACATAGACATCACGGGCCGCAACTCTTCCTCCAATCCACTAATATAGCTCGAAATGAAATATTCTTCTGTCAAGGCTGGATTGTAGCGGATCATCTGAGACTTAAGTTCCTCAAATCGTTCCTGATAATCAAGCAAAGAACCTCGTTGACGAAGCTTGTTAAACTCGCCAACAATACCACCCAGGGACCAATCACTGAACCTATTGCATAGAGCAGACACAAACTCTTCCCAAACTAACTCCACACGGCCAGTCTTCCATCCCTCGAACCAAATATCTGGACGACGCTCAAAGTAAATCGAAGCAAGCTCAACTTTCTGATCCGCGGGAATGGCATATATCGCAAATAGCTTCTCGCACTTGCGAGTCCATTCACGAGGGTTATCCCCGTTGAAGGACGGAAAATCCAAACGCGGCAAGGGAAACGGATTGTTACCGAAATGATGCGGAGGAATTCGCTGATGCAGATGTGGAATTGGATCGCCAACGCGATTCCCTTGCGGCGGAGCACGGTGCATCCCTGCGTCTGGCTCCAGTGGTCGACGCGCCGGTGGAATGACAGGCTGAGGTAAGATGCCGCGGTCGTCGTTCCGAGCCACCAGCGGAGCATCCGCCTCGGCAACGACGACCTGTGGCCGTTGCTGACCTAATTCCGCGAGACGACGAAGAACTTCATCGAAGCGACCATCCAAACCATCAATCCGAGTGTTAAGCGTGGCCATCTGCAACGAATGACCGTCGGCCTTAGTGGACAAGTCGTGGAGCTGTCCGGCATGTGCGCGAAACTGCTCGCCCGTCGTCGTCATCTGCTCATCCATGGCGTGCAAATGATCGCCGATCTGTTGAATCTGAGTCTCGACGGCGATGGTGCGGTTGGTGAACGTTGCAAGCTTCTCCTCCATTCTCGTCGTCGCCATCCGGTCGAGCGATGGCTCTGATACCAAGTTGTCACAGCCGGGGTGGAGAGTCTCGAGAACTCGACGGAATAGCAATGGCGATTTCCTTTGCGGCGGAATGTTTGGAGATGCTGGGCTGGAGGGAAAGGTTGTTACGCAGCTGAATGGTAAAGTAAGAGAGAGAGATAGAAGAGAGAGATAGAAAGAAGAGGGAGAGCAGATTGTATTATTTCCAACGTAAACTGAACAAGTGGGACCGGCTCTACTTATACGATCCGTTTTGCCCAATACATCAACACTCCAGCTTCTCACTCTCGTCCTCATTCTTTTATTTATCTACAATTAAGTCCGGTCTGTTACATAGAGAGAGACCATCTACTCCTGAACCAAGAGAGGTATTCGGTCAACTCGTGTGTCGGACTCAGCAAGCTGATTCAGGTTCGTTGGACTAAACCCCATGCAAAAAATTGGACTACCCAGCAGTCTAACACTCTACCAGAACTATATGCCAGCCGTAAAATGGTAAAAAAATGGAGAAAGAAGAAACCTTTTCCAGATTGCGGGGTATACCCAATTCTGTTTCCGGCACCGGAAGGAAGGTCGGGGATTCTTTGGAACAGTGTAGTGAAAGCCAAGGAAATTCGTGGCCGAGCAAGAAGAAGTTTTACTTTCTGCCTCTGGGTTCCGTTCCGTTGTCGTTCGTGCGCTTTCTTTTCGCCCTGTGACGAAGAGACGGAAGGAAGGAAAACGGTGAAGGAGGATACGGTGCGTTGAGAGGCGGAATGTTCTGCGGACTGCGGTTGGCCCGGTGTTTCTTGTCCAGTTGTCCGTCTTCTTAATACGCTCGGCCTTCGATTTCGATACGTGGGTTGGGTTGATCCGGGTTGGGTTGAACCGGTACTAGATAGTTAATTCTGGAAGAATCCTTGATTAAGTACATGAATTTGCTCACTCTTTAGCTCATTTATAGATGACTATCTTTGAGCAGATCCTTTGGATGAATTATTTAAAGTTAGAGAATATGTAAATATTGTTTATAGAAATGAAAATTTTAAATCACATAGCTATACATGTACCTGAGTTTGAACCGTAATTTGGCCGGTATGGTACGGGTTTGGTTTAGTCTCGTTTATCCCATATCGTGTTTGGGAAGGTCTATCGGTTTTCATGTCGTTCCATGTCAACCCATTTTTATAATTTATCAGCACGGACGCAGACAACTTATGGAACGTGAGGGGCGGATTTTTTTATTTGTAATTTTAATTTTAGTTTTAGTTTTTATTTTTATCAACTAATGACTTCTCCAACAAAAACTTGATTTTGACACTATAGACGGTATCGTGCACGTACTTGTGCGCGAGCCCATGAAGTTTAAGTTTAGTATGCCCCAATGAAGGATTTTTTATTGTACCAATACGACTAATATATTTTGTACTCATGTTGTGCCTAACTGCGTCGTGTCGTACTAGCCAGTGGACGGCCTGAACCGGTGCCTAGGTCTAGCTATATGCATAATGATAAACAAGTTTGTACACGTTTCTAATACCAAGCTAAACGATACTCAATAAATGCACTCAGTACACACTTTTTTATTACCTGATGGAATACTACATTTGAATCGACTACCACTAATACCACAGATAATAAGTATACTTCTAAATCATACATAAAAATTTCAAACACAGAATATTATGAATAAACTAATTAAAATAAATTATAAAATCAAACTCATCCAGTCATTCGAATGAATATAAGGTTAGATAATGTCTTAAACAATTTTATTCATATAAAGAGCAAAAAAAAGGTATAATCAGGTTCATCATCACTCATTTGTATGTCATTGCTCACAAATTCATTAACGCATCCAAATATGGTGAAATAAATAACACATCAAACCCAATATATTGTCTATATTGTTGGGTCCAATCATGTCGGATAACAAGAGGTTTAAGGTTTAGCAGGTAACCAGCCTAAAAAGTTTAGAGAGTCAGTCAGTTATAGTTTACACAAAAATAGTGTTGCTTCATGGTAGTTCTGAAAATTCATATTAATTTAAGAATTCTACATCACTCATGTGTATTCGACATTGCCATTCGATATGCAATATTACAATCAATGATATTTGAGTTGCAATTTTAAGACTATCCTTCATTTATAAATCAGAAAAAATGTTCTTAATTGCTGAGTAAACTTCAACTAAAATAATCATAAATGATATGTCAACACCATAGAAATAATTATAGGAGATTCAGTGGACTAGTTAACCGTGATGGAAATGTCTTATGTTTGTCATATTTTAGGTTAGTGTATGTTTTTAATTTATAAATCTACAACAAATCTGTTTAGTGTTGTCAGAATAGACCCTTATTTAAATCCTGACATTTGAAAAAGTTTACATGAGATAAATAAATAATTGTGAAGATAAATGTATCCTTCTTACTTTTTTTTGGATGAATTCCTTCCTACTTTTCACTTTGGTCTTGAACAATAGTTTTTACATTCCACTATCATATTCATATACAGTGTAGAGATGTAGTATAAGCTTGAAGACTGGTGTATTCTAACTCTCTGCCTCCGTCGGCCGTCCGGTTGTTCTGCTCGGTTCTCGTGGTGATCAGCGAGATGTGCATGGCGATCGACTCGGGGGATGAGATGTTTCGGTGGTTGTTTCCTTCTCATCTTGCCTTTCGGGTCCGGTGGGTACCCAAACCAGAGCTTGGCTCACAATGACGCTCAAAGGATGGGTGGCGACGACTTGTCGGGAGCGGTGGTGGTGCTTGCCGCGGTGGCGGAGGTTCAGAGGGGGCACGTTGGCAGCTAGGGTTTGGGAAAGACTCTTTCTTGTTTTGGCTCTGGGCCCGGACCCTATTGGGCTTCTGGGTTTGTTTTCGGGCCTTATTGTTTGGGCTTTTTCTTTTCCTTTATGCATTTGTTTGCTTGTACACTTCCTTTGTGGGCTCGGCCCAATCGTTTTATCTTAATGAACACATCTTTCAAAAAAAAAACTACATATCCCATTCAATTTGTTTGGGCTTGTGGCCTCGGAATGTGTATTCCCCACTACATGGGTCTTTTCTATTTATAAAAACACCTGGAAATTTTATTAATTAGCCATCACAGGATTACAGTCCACGTTAGTTGCGGGATTAGGAGAATTGGAGGTCTCGCTTCTCAAATTTCATGGGAGTCCCAATTACAAAGTGTATGGGCTATTATATGGGCTGCCTTGTTGCACTCCCTCTTTGCAAAGATCCACTTTATGTTGTTCAGATACTGGGCTTGGGTCCTAATCTCCTCACTTAGCCAACCTTCCTCCGTCAGCGATGCGTTGTCTCCTTTCAACTTCGACGCCACTTTCAGGCAATTTGACTCAATCTCCTCCTGGAAATACCCCTTCATTTCCACCACTTCCAAAGCAAAGGAGATCGTCTTGAGCTTTGCAATCTCGGAGCTCCACTGGCGGCGATCTCGGCAGGTCTGATTTCTCGTTTGAACATCATAATTTTTTAGAGTATCATTAAATTCAACACACGGCAAGAACATCTCGTTTGACTTGTTATCAAAGATATGAAAATAATAGGATAAATAACTGATCACCACAAGGGACAAACTAAAGCAAAATGGAGTGACTAAAATACTATTAATAACTAGGGGTGGGATAATGGTTTCGGGTTTCGGTTTAAACCAAACTCGAACCGATAAGAGTGCTGTCAATTTTGGGTTTTTGGTTTCAACCCGAATTGTTCTGTAACGGGTTTGGTTTGGTTTAGAACCAAAAAACCGATAAGGACCAAAATAACCGAAAAAGGACCCAAGAAATGTGTAAGCTTCCGGCAACACATATTTTCAATTTTCGGGTTTGCTTTAACCGAACCCGAAGTAAATAACGATAATTTTGGGTTTCGGGTACAAATTCTCCTTACCAGTTTCAGGTTCGGTTTATAGAGGTTGCATTTTCGGTTTTTCGAGTACAAATGAATTTCGGTTCGATTGTAACCGAACCGTCACCCCTATTAATAACTGTGTTGTGTAACTTGTGTTGAATTGCCCAACAAACTCGATTTCACTTATTATTTTGTTGTCATTATACGTAAGTTGTGTTGGGAGATAGTCTGAAGTTGATGCGACAGACTTGTAGAGTGCGTCCTGACTTTAACAGCTACATAAGCTGGGCAGTTCAGGTTTTTGTAAGAAAGAAACTAGTTGCTAAAGTGGAGAGACTTATATGGAGCTTGGTGATTAGCTTGCTATGGAGGGAGATGTGTGGTAGTAGTTAGTAAACCAAGCATAATACTTTATGAAATAGGCGGAGTAAGAGAAAATATAGCCCGAAAAGGGGATGAGATACGGTAACACCCCCCTTAGGGGTTGTGAGATTCACAACCCACTAACTAATAGTTGGATACACTCTCTCTCCGGTCTCTTTCTTCTTTTTTTAAGTTGATGGTTAGGATTAAAAGAAGGGTATTTTTGAAAAGGAAAAATGTTACCACACCCAATCATTCTCCCTCCCATATAAATAAAATAAAAACCCTAACTCTCCCTCTCCCCCTCCTCTCTCTATCCAGACGGCACTGTCGCCGGCCTCCACCACCGATGTCGCCTCTCTCCACCCAACACTGCCTCCGCCGCCCTCCACATTCCGTCACGTCCATAGCCCGCCGCCCTCCATAGCCGCCACTTCTCTCACCCCCAGCCGAGCCCTCCACCGTCGCCGCAATCCTCCGACGCCCTCCACCCCCTGTTGTTGCCAGCTCTCTAACGCCACCGTCGTGCCTCCTCTCCTTACCTCTTCCGGTGTGAGTCCCTCTGCCTCTTTGTGCCTCCTCTCCTCTCCTCCTCTTCGTTTTTCAGATCTATGATTTTTGGATTTTCAGATCTGGTTTTTTTTCTAGGGGTACTGATTTTCTAGTGATAGTGGTACTATATGGAGTGGTAGCTGGTAGTGGTACGCCACCACTATCAAGTATGAGAAAACAGTGGTACCAAATGATAGTGGTACACTACCACTACCCGGTACCAGATGGTAGTGGTACCAGTGGTAGTGGAACGTACCACTAATGTACTAACATAGTTTTAATTTTTTACAGGTGGCCGGAGCGAGTCGTATTCAAGGATCTTGCCGGAGAAAGTCTGCCGGTCGGAGTGGAGTGGCTGCTTGAAAAGGAAGATAGAGTTGTATTTATTGTAGGATTCAAAATTTAAAAAGATAAGTATTTAATATGGGTTTTTAATTCCCAATATGTAGTTAATAAAAAAATTAATTAATAAATTCGTTTTTTTGTCATACCCAAAATATCCTTGGTTGTCAATCTCACAACCCCCTTAGGGGTTGTTACCGTATCCCATTCCCCCGAAAAGCGATCTCGCGAGAGTGAGTTAACTCAAAAAGCACATCCTTAGTTCGGAATATTGCAGGCTGCAACTCGCCGCATAAATAATGATGGAGATTACATTGTATTCTATCTAATGGATTAATGGTTGTTTTAAGATAAGATGTAATTAAGAATGATTGTCTCTTTGTCGACTTTATGATATAGTAGTTGCATTTATTGTTATAATTAAAAATTTATATGTAAAATTTGAGATATTATAATGTTAGATGTGCGGTGAGGGTATTACCCATGGGTACCCAAAAATCACTGCTACGGAGATGGATTCGCAAAAAAATTTCCTCGTGAGGGTATGAAGCAAGTACGAATTTGGATATTTAAATCGAGGATGTGATGATTTAGACAAACTCGTATCAAAGCCTCAACTCAAATCGATTGGTTTGAATTGAATATGTCTACATCAACAAGAGGACATGTCTCTTTGTTAAATTGTTCGGACGGTGGAAAGTAATCTATCCACCATTGTTTTTATTTTTTTGGTAGAAACCACCATTGTTTTAGTTTAACCTGAAATCCACATTTTATTGACCAATGAAATGATCGATCAAATAAATGAATCGCTATTTGCCGCCCGCAGTTTTACTATTTTCCGCCCGTAGTTAGAAAAAAAAAAGACGATTTTGCCCCTAACCCTATCCCACCCTCAACCCATCTGCCGCCGCCCCCTTCAACCCTCCCTCCTCCTGTCGACCTCCCACCGCCGACGACCCTCCTCCTGCCGGACCTCCCGCCGCCGCCGACTCCTCCCTCCTGCCAACCTCCTGCCGCCGACTCCTCCCTCCGCCGCTGCCGACTTCCTCGCTCTCGCCGCTACCAACCTCCCAAGCTCGGCGGAGGGAATTTTTTTTATTTTTTTTTCAGTCGCCGTCCGACTGGCCGGAGCGGACGCAGTCCGACTGGCCGGAGCGGACCCCGTCCGCCCGGTCTGGTCAGACTACGTCCGCCCGGTCTGGTCGGACCCCGTCCGTCCGGTCTGGTCGGACCGCTCTGATTGGGTTTATGATTCGGTTTGAATGGTTCGGTTTAAATAAATATTTATTAGATTTATTTTAAATACAATTGTTAGTATCTTAATTAGTTTAATAATTAGTATATAATTGTTAATTTGACCACAATTGGTTAAGGGAATTAGGGTTTGACTTAATTAGGGTTTGACTAAATTATATATTATTTGATCACAGTTGGTTGAGGAAATTAGGGTTTGACTTAATTAGGGTTTGACCCGAATTAGGGTTTGACCTGAATTAAGGTTTGATTTAATTAGGGTTTGGCCCGAATTAAGGTTTGATATAATTAGGGTTTGACTTAATTAGGGTTTGACCCGAATTAGGGGTTGACTAAATTATATATTATTTTGACCATAGTTGTCTGAGGGAATTAGGGTTTGACTTAATTAGGGTTTGATTCGAATTAGGGTTTGACTTAATTAGGGTTTGACCACAGTTGAAATAATCTCACCCAAGATGACGGATAACAACAATAAGAATCAACTCGACTCAACTGGACCAATAATGACAATAAAGAAGGAAAGCATCTCATCCACCTCCTATACCTTATACTCCTCTGAAACCCTAAACCCTCATTCCCCTTGAATAGCTACCTTCAACCTCGATCCATCCAATCCTACTAGGAAATATTTTAGAGGCAAAATCATCTCTTCCTCCACTAACAATAATATTTCGTCTCGTGGAAATATACGTGATAGGCTCAAGAAACTCCTAGTTACCACCCCCAGAGCCCTAAAAACACCTCGATGAAAGTTTTGGCACTATTCATCTCTTTTTGTCGGGAATGTCCGATTGATAAACAATCGATTCCAACACATTTGTATCCACATTTTAAGAGATCGATGAAAGTTTCAATATTTTTTCATGTCGGTGACTCTAGTAATTTGTAAAAGATGTTTTTGCCCGACCTTCCCCGAGCCGCAAAGAGTCCTCTTCGTGCCTCGATTCCTTGGAAGTTTTATAAAACATATTTTAGGTACGATGATCTTATTAAATATGAAATAAATACAATTAAAAAAAGGTTTAATCAAAATTTATAAATATTTTATAACTATTCTACATAATTAAAATGAATTATTCATAAGTTTATACAATATTTATGATAATTTATGATTAAATATCCATTTTCTTATACACTACTTCAGATAATTTGTAATTATTTAACATACTATAATTATTTAATTGCTATTATACTGAATTTATTTATTTTAGCTCTACTTACATAGTTATAAAATAAGTATGAATTAGTTTGTACAATATTTTTTATAATTTAATTTTTTTTCTTATGAATAATTTTTAGTTTTTCTAATTCATAAATATAATTAATAAACATACATATAATTATTAGCATGATATAATATTAAAAAAAATAGAAGATTGAGTTAAATAATTATTATCATTTAGCGACGAATTTTGTGACGGTTTTGAAACCGTCGCTAATGCACGGTCCGCTCGCCGGCGTCGGACGGGGTCCTCCCGCCGGCGTCGGACGGGGTCCTCCCGCCGGCGTCGGACGGGGTCCTCCCGCCGGCGTCGGACGGGGTCCTCCCGCCGGCGTCGGACGGGGTCCTCCCGCCGGCTGTGGTGATTTGGTTCTGGCCGCGGTGGTAATCTGGAGGTGGTGGCGACGTCGGCGATTTGGCGGCGGTGGTGGATTGGCGCCGACGACAATAATGGTGGAATGAGGTTTGTTTTATAAAAAATGAACAAAAGGTAAAAATGTCATTTTAGTTTAATTTACGGGCGACAAATAGTAATGAAAGGGGCGGCAAATAGTAACCCTCATCAAATAAATACTCAAACTAACTCTTAGTCGAATTCAAATGATAAAAGAGTCCTATAAAATAAATGTTGTTACCTTCAAAAAGGATTTTTGCTATAATTAACTTGATAACAATAATCCTAAACTAACTCTATTCACGGCTTCACATCCTCCAACCCATTCTCCAACCCACTCACCAGCCGCTCGAAGAAGTTCCCCGTCGTACTGGTCAGCTCCTGCAGCTTCAACCTGTACTCAAAGAACTCCAGCTTCTCCGCCTCCTCCACCACTCGTTCTCCCCCGCCGCCGCCGCCGCCGGCGGCGGCCTTAATAAACGGGGAAATATCCTTCTCCGCGCACTTATGTAGCCTCTCCAAGCTCACCTCCGCCTCCCCTTGCAAAAACTCAAACAAATCCTTCTTCACCTTCTTCCTCCCTCCTCCGCCGCCGCCCTCCTCCTCCACCTCCTCCGCCAGGTAGTACCCGTACACATAGGTCCACTCCAGCACCCGCCGGCACTCCCTGATCTGCATCCACGCCCTGCCCACGCAATTCAATTCGGAATCCGCCAGCCCGTAGTCGGAAACCAGCTGCGCGAAATGCTCCCTCCGCAGCTTCTCCAGATCCTCCGCCGCCCTCTTCCTCGCCTTCCGATTCGCCGCCCACCGCTCGAAGTAGTGCGCGTACCGGTCCACCAGCCGCTTCGCGAACTCCCGCCTCCTCTCCTCCTCGCCCAATTTCCCCTCCGCCTTCTGCACCGCGTACGAATTGCACGAGTAGTACCATCCCCCGCCGCCGCCGCCGTGCTTGTACCAGTCGGCCAGGCAGATCCAGCAGAACTCGAACCGGCACTTGCAGGACATGTGGTTGCAGCCCTGGTTCTTCTCGATCGGCTGGCGGCACTTAGGGCACGGCTTCGTGTTCGCCAGCACCCAATTCACGTTCTCCGAATCGGATCTGTTCTTCCGGATCCACTTCTCCACCGTCGCGCAATTCAAAGGGCGGTGCGCGTCCTCCGCGCAGTTCCAGCAGAATTGGTGCGAGCAATCGCACACGACGTCGTAGTTGGACTTCTCCCCGATCTGGAATTCGACCGCCGTCTCGCAGTCGGGAGCAGGGTGTCAACTTACCTTTGAGTCCTGATGCTGAAGGGATTGCAGACCGAAGAGAAGGTTGAAGACAATATGCAAAACGGAACGTTTTATGTGTTTTAAGTTTGTTGTGCCTAAAACTATGTCGTTTCCTTTAAAGGCTTGTTAGCCGTTATTAGCCGTTGTTAAGCACTGTTTTGGGTTTGTAATAGGCCAGTTGTTGATTGCCAAGTGGCAATCCAGACTAAGCTGATTTCCTCAGCTCATATATATACTGCAAACAGAGCAACCCTGCACTTTGAGGGTTTTGCTTTTACCCTAGCAAATTTTCTCCATATGGTATCAGAGCGGCGACGCATCTAGGGTTACAATGGCAAACACACCACCCCAGTCAAGCCATGGAAAGGAAACTGCAAGTGGATCAGCAGCCTCAGGAGCAACAATGTCTGGTGCTCGAGGTTTCCAGTTTGGTACTTACACTGAAACCCAGCAGCAGGAGCAGCAGCAACAAAATACCATCAGATCTGAGGTGATAACCTTTGGTAATCCTTTTTACTTGAACCCTAATGAAGCACTGAATCAGTCTATAGGTTCAGAGGTGTTTGATGGGACGAATTACATTATGTGGAGTAGATCTGTTATAATGGGTTTGAAGATGAAACATAAGATGGGTTTTATTGATGGAAGCATTCCAATGCCTCCAGTGAATGATGACACATTTCTGCTTTGGGATGGATGTAACACAGCTGTGTTATCATGGATCTTGAATTCCTTGCACAAAGATCTTCGACGTTCTGTGATGAATCATGTTAGTGCTAAGGTACTGTGGGATGAGTTGAAAAGGAGGTATGGTAAACCCAATGCCATACGAATCACAAATCTGGAGGATGATATCCACAAGTGCAAGCAAGGGAACCGCACTATAAACCAGTATCACAATGAGATCAAGGGAATTTGGGAAGAACTGGCACAATTCAGTCCCATAGTTCCATGTAATTGTGCACCTGGGAATGTGAATCCATGTGATGCTGTTGTGGCCTACACAGAGAGGCAGGAAACTGATTATCTGATCAGGTTTCTCAGGGGTCTGCATCCAGACTATGAAATTTTCAAGAGTCAGTTGTTATCTCGCAAACCACTACCCACTGTGTCTGAGGCAGTGGATGATCTGCTCCAATATGAACAGAAGCTGAAAGCAGAAACTCATGGTGGAAGGAAAGGCCAAAGTGTGGCATTGGCTGTTGAGACTGAGCAAGATGAGAGACCAAGAGGACAAGGGAAGAAGTTTTGCATCTTTTGCAAAAGAACAAATCATAATGTTGAGCAGTGTTGGAGAGCTAAGAAGAAGAGAGAATCACAGAATGGAGGAGGATCTCAGGGCAATGCTTCCAGCTTTGCAGGATCAGTATCACAAGCAGGTTCTAGTGATTCAACTACTGAAGTAAGCTACTCCAGCTCGACTGATACACCAGGAGGTAGTCCAGTAAGTGCTTCTAAGACAGTGGTTGGTTTTACACCAGAGGAAATGAACAAGTTAAGAAGCATGATGCAATCTGGTACTGGTAACTTTCCTTCACCTCCAACCTCACCATCTTTGCCTCACCATGCCTATTCAGTCACTCAAATTCCTCCACCATATCCCAATTACTCAGGTAAATATAGCCTGTCTACCTCAAGTCAGTTTAACCAAACCAATTCTACAAGTCTTTGGATTCTAGACACAGGTGCCTCAGATCACATTTCTTGTTCATTAGCCTTATTTGTAGAGCACAAACCAGTTCAAGATGTCTATGTGAATCTACCTAATACCACTAGGGTCCAAGTCACTCATATTGGCACAGTTAAACTGCCTACAGGCTTGATTCTACACAATGTCCTACATGTCCCTAGCTTCTCTTTCAACCTTGTCTCAGTTAGCAAACTTACCAATGATTGCCCACTAGTCTTACATTTTCATTCTAATCTGTGTCATATCCAGGACCAGTTAAGCTTGAAGATGATTGGTTTAGCAAGAGAGCATAGAGGCCTTTACCATCTCACTTTTCCACCAAACCAAGACCAGAAGCCAGACCACCAAGCAGCCACCATCTTCAATTTCAATCCTTTGCATTTTGATATTTGGCATTGGAGATTAGGACATGCCAGTAGTGATAGAATTTCCATGTTGCAGAAATCAAATTCTACTGTAACTAGCTCTAAGATTCTACACTGTGATGTATGTCATTTCTCAAAACACAAAAGACTCCCTTTCCCAACCAGTACCAGTATTGCAAAATGTCCTTTTGACTTGGTTCATGTAGACATATGGGGACCTTTATCTGTTCAATCCTATGATGGTCACTCTTATTTTCTTACTGTTGTGGATGATCATACAAGGGCAGTATGGGTTTACTTAATGAAACACAAACATGAAACAAGGGACTTGCTGAAAGGTTTCTGTGCTCTGGTTGAAAATCAATTTAATACTACTGTCAAGATAATTAGAAGTGACCAAGGGCAGGAATTTCATATGAAGGAATTCTTTGTGGAGAAAGGGATAGAGCATCAGATGTCTTGTGTGGAAACCCCAGAACAAAATGCCAGGGTTGAAAGGAAGCACCAGCACATTCTAAATGTGGCTAGGTCACTTAGGTTCCAATCTGGTTTACCCTTAACCTTTTGGAATGACTGCATTCTTCATGCAGTGTATTTAATTAACAGAATGCCAACCCCCATTTTACTTGGAAAATCACCATTTGAAGTACTTTACAACCATCAACCATTTCTTGGCAACCTTAAAGTGTTTGGTAGCCTGTGTTATGCCAGTACACTTGGGCATAACAGGACAAAATTTGCACCCAGGGCAAGACAATGTGTGTTCTTAGGCATCCCTGCAGGAGTTAAAGGGTATAAGTTGCTGGATTTAGATGATAGGAGAGTCTTCTTATCTCGAGATGTTATCTTCTATGAAACAATTCTCCCTTTCAGAGATTGTTCAGATACATCAGACTCTTCCTCTCCTTCATCTACTTCCCCTCCTATTCAGTCCTCAGCATCAGCTCCTCCTATCCTGGTTCCTACATCTTCACTTCCTACACCTTCAGCACCTGTTTCCTTTGATCAGGCCTCAGCTGCAAGGGGGGATGGTGATACTGATGATGATCCAAGTGACAGTGAAGATGCATCTCCTGCAAATGTCACCCCTGAACATGAAACAGCAGCTCCTGAAGTTGCTGATCATGATTCTGAGTTACTACCACAAGCAGACTTTGAACCTCCAAGAAGATCACAAAGGCAACCAGTATTACCTGCTAAGCTCAATGACTGTGAACTGGATCCCCAATTGACATTTGGTGCTTTTGGGACAGCAGCAAGCACAAGTAAGCATCCTATATCTCTAAATGTTGAATGCTTGAATGAGAAAGATAGGATATATGCTTTGAGTGTGCTGAAGCATGAGGAACCAACCTCATACCATGAGGCAGTTAAATCCATTGAATGGAATAGAGCAGTAATAGAGGAAATACATGCCCTGGAAGCAAACCAGACCTGGGAGATAGTTGAAGCACCACCAGACAAGCACATAGTTGGCTGTAAATGGGTATTCAAACTTAAACTAAAACAGGATGGAACAATTGAGAGGTACAAAGCAAGACTAGTGGCTAAGGGTTTCACACAGATATATGGGATAGATTTCCTGGATACTTTTTCTCCAGTAGCCAAGATTAACTCAGTAAAGGCATTGCTAGCCATAGCTGCAGTCAAGAACTGGACTCTAGAGCAGTTGGATGTTTCCAATGCTTTCCTAAATGGGGATCTACATGAAGATGTATATATGCAGATACCTCAGGGAGTTGAGTTGCCACCTGGAAGTCCTAAGAGAATGGCTTGCAAGCTAAAGAAGTCTTTGTATGGTCTTAAACAGGCCTCAAGGCAATGGTTTGCCAAGTTAACTGGTTTCCTGTTGAAAAGTGGATTCTATCAATCAGCCTCAGATTATTCTATGTTTACTAAGTGGATTCATGGAAGGATTGTTGTTCTACTTGTCTATGTAGATGACATAATCTTAGCTGGTGATGCTCAGAAAGACATAGATCAGGTTAAAACTTCTTTGAGCAAGGAGTTTAAGATCAAACTGCTTGGACCTTTAAAATACTTCTTAGGGTTAGAAGTGAACAGGACAGCAGAAGGATTAATGGTTTGCCAAAGGAAATATTGCATGGACTTGCTTACTGATACAGGTTACTTGAATGCCAAAGGATGCAAGTCACCATCAGATCCAAAGATCAAGTTAACAGCAACACAAGGAACTTTACTTGATGATCCAGAACAGTACAGAAGGCTAGTTGGGAGGCTACATTACATAACTATAACTAGGCCTGACTTGACATATTCAGTGCAGCAGTTGTGCCAATTTCAGAAGAGACCCTACACAGAACATTTACAAGCAGCCTACAGAGTACTAAGGTATCTCAAATCATGTCCAGATCAAGGTATCTATTACAGCAGCAAGGCAGACTTGAAGCTTGTGGGATTCTGTGACTCAGACTGGGCCAGCTGTCCAGACACTCGAAGATCAACAACAGGGTATTGTACCTTCCTTGGAAACTCACTTCTGACCTGGAAAACCAAGAAACAGACAACAGTTTCCAGATCATCATCAGAAGCAGAATATAGAGCACTAGCTCTATTGGTTTGTGAAATTGACTGGTTAAGAGTATTGCTGGGTGAAATGGATGTCAAAGTTCCTCTTCCTGTTGCTGTGTACTGTGATAACAGGTCTGCAATCCATATTGCTGAGAACCCTGTGTTCCATGAAAGAACAAAGCACATTGAGATTGATATGCATGTTACAAGAGAAAGATTGAAGACTGGTTTGATCAAACTTTTCCATGTAAGTACAATCAATCAACTTGCTGACATATTCACTAAGGGATTGGACAGGAATAGGCTGGAGTATCTTCTGGACAAGTTGGGAGTGAAGAGAGCACTCACAACTTGAAGGGGGGTGTCAACTTACCTTTGAGTCCTGATGCTGAAGGGATTGCAGACCGAAGAGAAGGTTGAAGACAATATGCAAAACGGAACGTTTTATGTGTTTTAAGTTTGTTGTGCCTAAAACTATGTCGTTTCCTTTAAAGGCTTGTTAGCCGTTATTAGCCGTTGTTAAGCACTGTTTTGGGTTTGTAATAGGCCAGTTGTTGATTGCCAAGTGGCAATCCAGACTAAGCTGATTTCCTCAGCTCATATATATACTGCAAACAGAGCAACCCTGCACTTTGAGGGTTTTGCTTTTACCCTAGCAAATTTTCTCCATACAGGGCACCACTTGTGGCCCTTTTTCCCCTCGATGTACGACCGGCGGAGGACCCTGGCGTATTTCTCCACGTACCGGCCGTCGCTGACTAGGGTTCCGACGGCGGATTGGCAGACCAAGACAGGGCAATCGGGCTCCGGGCACCGGAGAGTCAGGCATCCAGCGCCGTCGTCGTCGATGCTCAGCTCGATGTACCTCGACCAGCAGATCCTGCAAAAGGAATGGCCGCAGGAGAGCGAGGCTCGCTCCTCGATTTCGAATCTCTCGAAACAGATCTGACACTCGTCACGACTCTCTACCCCACCACCACCACCGTCCGCCGCCTCCGCGGTCAGGCCGTAGGAGCGGCGCATCTTCTCCTCGTCGGAGAACCAGTTCTCCTGGGCCAGGTCGGAATCCCACTTGAATTCGACGAGGAGTGCGATCGCCACGGCTCTCGGGACGGAGAGGAGGGTGGAAACCTCCGCGATCAGAGCCTCCTGGCGCCGCTCGATGTCGACTTTGCTGAGCGTCGAGAAAGCGGCGGCGGCGGCTTTGGTGTTTCTATCGTCGTCATCCTCCTCGATGTAATCACTGTGTTCATCGTCGTCCTCTTCGATGTAATCACTGGGTTCATCGTCGTCCTCGTCGTCCATGTAATCACTGTAATCTTCTTCATCCATGATCGGAGTGGGCCAGGGAAGAAAGGAATTTTTGCTGTTCTTCGTTTTTCGGGATTCTCCCCTCTGTTCTGTTGTTTACTTACTTTATAAAGCTCGGCCGTGGAGTTACTTGGGGCGAAATTAGTGGTAATAGTGCCCATGATTTATACGGAAAAAGGTAGAATTAAAATTTAAAAATTAATAATATCGTACACGCACGGATCCGGCCTCCTTTTCCCCCGTTTTGTATCCTCTTTTCACGCAACTATCAAAACATGGGCATGGTAATTTACACAATAGTCCCTGTATTTTTCCTGTTTCGACAAACAAGTCCTTATAGTAGGATTCTGGGAAATAAAAGATTTCCAGTTCCTATGTGGGGAAGAACAAACACAAACCAACCTTATTATCCCCTGAAGACAGCAAAGGTATATACCCTTCAACTTCTTCTCTGTATCTTACTACTTACTCCAAGCTATAAACTCCGACGAAAGGCATCAACACGCTCCCCATCCACAGCTTCCCGTCTCGTTCCTCCACTTCGCTAACCGCCTTCACCACTTTCCCTTGACGGTCCTCCAAAACCTGCAGCAGCTTGCCTTCTGGGCTGTACTTGGCGACCAAGGCATGTGGTCTGCATCCAATGTGAAGTAGGAAATGAAACTTGGCTGAAATCGGGAGCTTCAACAGGAATGTCCTGAGAGCTGGGAATTTGGCGCATAGGTTAATGTAGTAGGATCTTCTGCAGTGGATTGCAACCCAGAAGTCGCCGTCTTTGTTAGTCCTGACGTTGTCAGGAAATCCAGGCAAAACTGCCAGTATCTCTGAAGTGCCGGCTTTCTCTCCTTTTAGCCAGTACCTGTGCAATCTGGCAGATTGCAGGGGCAAAAAAGAGTAGCGTTGTGTAAGCTACTATACGTATAAACCGGTTGATAGTTACTATTGAAGAAAAGACTCACACGCCGAGTGCTCCTTCGCAGAAGACAAAGAAGGAGCCATCTTTGCTTAGAGACACCCCATTTGGGAATTGAAGGTTTCTCACAAGGACAGAGGCCTTCTTCGTGATCGGATCGTACTTCAGAACTCTCCCACTGTTTTCTGCTGAGTAAACCAGCAGCATGAAGTTCCTGAAACACATCATAACTTCCAAAAGCATCATTTCATGGGGGGACAACAAGAAGATGATTCAATAGCCACTAGCAAAGTCACTTGCTTTTGCTATTGAACAACACGAAACATAAAGTCACTTGCTTTTTCTAACGGTATACTTGGATATCTAATGCAAAAGAGCCTGTTAATCAGAGAAAGTGATGAACTTCAAAAATTGAAGGTGTATTATTTTACCTTCTCTGGTACTTGGTACTGCTGTCAGTGAAGTAGATGTTGCCATCTTGGTCAATGTCTAGATCATTAGTAAACCCGAATGGAACTCCTTCTGCCTCGGTAGCAATCGATGTTGCTACTCCACCTTCAGGTCCGACCTTCATCAGCCCGAAATACGCATCTGCAATGTACAAATCACCGGTCTTCTTATCGAATCGGATCCCCAATGGCCTTCCACAGATGTGCTCGTTCTTCAAGTAGCCCAATGGGGAAGGCTTAGGGTCACATATTGCTGACCTGAAATCCAGACCAGAACATAAGCCAATGCATCACTAAGTCTACACAAAACCATAAGTTCATGCATCAAGCAAACACAGTTGAACCAGCTAAACATTTAAAATTGAACCCAAATTGATCACAGTTCAGCTAACAGAAACAAACCCTTTAAAACCCTTCAATAGAGCAGCCCAAAGCATCCAAGAACCCAGAAAAAGGCACAAACTTTTTCCCCTTCCACAAGACCAGGACCCAAGAATTTAGGGAAAACCCCCAATTCGAATTCATAGTCTGACTGACCTATTGCCGGAAGTGTAAGCAAAGTCAACGAATTTCTCGCCATTCCAGAACACGACTCTGCCATCAGCGATACCAGTGTAAGGCCCGCGGCCAAGAGGGTCGAAGGTCAAGCTCTCGGGGCCTTGAATTTGACCCAGGAACTTGATTTCCGACTTCTGCAGCGAGTTCAGCTCGTCTCTCTCGGTGGGAACCAGCGACCACGGCGGCAACTCCACGAGGTGGGACACGTAATCGGGGAAATCGGAGATTGCGCTGTGCTTGAATGGGTCGACGGCGCAGTAGACGGCGAGGAGAAGGAACAGTCCAGCGAAAATCCTGGTCGGCGTCATTGCCGGCGGGAGGGTTTTTCTCCGGTGAAGTTGGGAAGGAAATTGGAAAGTGAAGAGTGAACTGCTGAGTTTTGTAGCTTGCCAAAACCCGAATGGTGGGTCTTGTAGAATGGAGAGGATTGCAAGAAGCGACGTCGGCCATGGAAACGAGCAAATTTATTGCGCTGAGAGCTGACCAGCCACAAAGACCTTCGCATCTACAGAGAAAAGGAAAAGTTTGTTAAGAACTTAAGAGGGTTCGGTAGTGGGTAGTACAAGGCGCGACACTGAGAAAAACAAGGAAGACGAAAAAACGAAGAACCGATTTAGAGCGGACATCTCTATGACTATGTCCGGTGAAAAATGGTTTGGCAAAAACATTTTTTTTTTTTTTTTGCATAACAAGGAGGCCGAAGCCAAAGAAGAAGGAAAAAATTACAGAGGAGGAGAATCAAGAGCTGGAAGGAGGGGGGTGCGCCACAATCCGGCGCTTAACAGTAACCCCCATCATATCATCCCTAATAAGCGGAACTGCCCCTGGAGGCGGGTCAACCAACTCATGCATCCCGTAGGGATAGACGAGACTGTGCTTCGAGAGCCAGTCCGCGACTCTATTCCCTTCGCGGTATGTATGAGACAGGTTGACCAACCAATCCTGACTGAGCTTCCTACGAATGAGACCCAACAAAGTAGCATAAGGGTGAATGGGATCCTGACGATCCTGAATAAGCTGAATCGCTAACTGAGAATCCGAAGCGAGTTTCACCACTCGGAACCCGAGCTTCCAAGCCAGCTCTAACCCATGATAAACTGCCCACAGCTCTGCCAGTGCTGCCGTTGCTGTACCGATGTTCACGACAAAGCCGCCTAGCCAGTTCCCCATCGTATCCCTGAAAACGACGGAAGTAAAAAGGGTATATTTATTGAATTTTAAGAAGGAAATCGAGTTTTATGAGGAGAACTAAACTTCTCTTTGTAGGCTGTTGCCCCTTCTAGAATTTTTCTTAGTATGATTTTTGTGATAGTTTGGTTGAGATAATTATAATATTTTTATTGTTTATAATATTTTTATTGTTTATAATATATTAATTTTGTGAACTTTTTGTACAAATAATATAAATATTTTTATATGTAACATAAATTATCACTCAGAATGAGTGATGGTTAAATTCATGTGTTTATGTGAGATTATAGAGGTAGTTGGTTGAACTTGATGAGTTTATTTTATATTCCAACTATTATTTGTATGTGCTACAATAACTAACACAAAAACAAATTATGTAAAGTACAATACACTAATTTCTTTATTTGTATGTGTAGTACTATACATGTACGATTCACAATGCATAAATTTAATTATCATCAAAATCAAAAGACTCTTAAAGGGAAAATTTCTAATATATAATATAATAATGTAATTAAAGGTCAAGTAGTGGCAGGGGCAGAGGGAGAGGGATAGAGGGTGGGTTTCGGGAACAGCCCTGGTTCGGGAGGAATAATGGTAAACTCGGTATAATAGTTAATTGGATAGGAAAAATAATATGTATTTAAATGAGAATGGTTGTTGGTTAGTGAAGCGTGACTTGAGCAATTCCCTAAGAGTTCTGCGCGTACTATATGTTCAGGTGTGTCTGATTCATTTTGGAATATTGTTAAGGTCTTCCTCTCCTCTGGATTCCTTGCTTAAACCTTTCAAATACTATCATTTTTGGCAATTACAACTGAGTTACTTAACATTATTCGTGAAATATGGAGGACAATAGTTTTTGGTCGTTCTTATTTGTGTATTCTATGGAACTGGAAAAAAGCGAAAAAGGGCTAAGTAAGTTAAATAAGGAACAATACCCTGACAAATCTAGTAGAGCAGGGTTGGCGGAGTTTGCACTTTAGCAAGCTTTGTTGGAAGTGTTAAGAGAAGTAGTTGGTTATAGAGTGTTAAGAGGCTAGAAGGGCCGAGGAGTTGTTTTATAAGCAAAAAGCCAAGGTTTAGTGAATTCTTGAAGGATACTCAAACACAACATTTTTTCACAAGACAATTGGAATTCATAATCAAAGACAACAGATTAGCCGTATGATAGATTCTCATGGAAAGGTGGTTACTGATGTGAAAGGTATTGGGGCGGTAGCAATTGAGTTTTATAAGAAGCTCATTGGTACAATCAATAGTAAAGTAGAGGTAGGCATGGGAACGGGGCGGATCGGGCTCGGATTTATAAGGATTCGTTACCCACCCGTTTGAACTTTGAGTTCGGGGGAAACCTGCCCAACACAACTGATCGGGTGTAAAACAGACACCAAATCCATCCGTCGTCGGACTTCGGGTTTTTCGGGGATCCGAACTTGATCTTATCAAAACATTCAGGTTGAGAAAAAAACAGCTAAATGTCATTCAACCAAACTTGGGAGATAGATTCAAACAATAATAGTCAACAGAGCATGCAAATTCAGTAGACAGTAGCCAAGGAAACCAATGTATCTAGGTTGTACCAACTATCAACCTAAATCAAACAAAATACTTGGTCTTAATTCTTGAACTAAATCGAAAACAACAAACAAAATAGGAACCCCATCTCAATGTGCAGCAGCAACTTTGACAGAACTCCTGAACTCCAGAAAACAGCAACAATCAAATCATCCAGCAGCAACCAACAACACTCATGAAATCACCCAGCAGCAACAACCATTAAACCAACATTCGATCACAACCTGCACGAGCCCTTTATCAGAAGTGGACTTCATTTGTTTTGCAGTCTTTTTGAAAAGTTCCACACGTTTAGGGGTGGCAGACCAGTACAAAACACTGTCCCTTATGTTGTCGTAACTATTGATAGTACTCCACAGACTTTGCCTCTACTTCACTATTCATTGTACCTGTCAGAACGGAATCGTGCAATCGATAATCCAGATGAACACAAACAAACACGAATTTAACGTGGTTCACTAACACAATGTGTGCTAGCTAATCCACGGGCAGGGGAGAACAAATTTCACTGATTTGAGGAGAGTGCAGGTTACAAACCAAATTCCAAACGGACAAACCAAACAAACTAACCCGAGTGACCTTACTACATATTAGGGTGGTGAAGAATATTTATAGAACTTTTCTCCTAGTCCCAAACAGAAAGCCAAGCACATTTTCCAAACATACAAGGAAAATGGCAAAACAAAGCACAAACCCAAACAAAATAGGTCCAAAACAACAAACAAATCCAAATCAAATTCAAGTCACATCCTAACAAAGTTCATTGAGCATTACATTGCATTCATGAGAGAACTATATGTTAATGCAAGAAACAAATTCATACTTTAAGCAAACATGAAAGATACTTATGATACAAGGAAATACAAGTGGCTTATATCTTCTCATTGCGTGGAATATTATCTTAATAAAGAATAAGATATCAAGTTAAGCAAGCAAGTAATAATAAGTTAATAAGTAAGAACAAGTTAAACACACTTATCTATCCACATTCACAATGGATCACTATTGGACGGCGATCGTAACGCAGTAGTTGATCATGCATGGATTCAGACTACGATATGTAACGCGATTGTGATTGCCTAGTTTTAGATATGCAACCGGATGACGATACGTAATGCGGTTGACATCCTTGGATATCATGATACTAGCTTATTACCCGGCCCGTTGGCCGGATTACTGTATGTTACCCACTTGTGGAATGGGAGAGAAAGTAAGTGAGAGTGAAGGGATTGGGATTCCACTTGATTAGGACCGACCCACTAATCCAATTTTTCCCGACCTGCCCCAACCTAAAGGGTCAGAAAGAGTCAATAAGAAAATACGAACGGGGAGGATTAGTCATATATCTTGACTCTTCAGAAGTGGGTCAAACAGGATCAAGGTTGGGTGAGGGCAATTTTTAGCGCTAAGCAGAGTTCAGGGTTGAATACCTTTACTTAGGCCTAGAAATTGGTGCTGATGCAGACTGCAGTTATTATTATACCATCATCAATCATCATTGAATTAGTCCTGGGCATCTCTCCCCGTTGTCGGTCTGAATTCTAATGATGGCTTCATTCCTTGCACCAGCCATATCAGCGAGTTGCCATCTCGAGCATGATTTGCCTATGTACAAATAATACAATTAGAGTATGAAAATGAATTCAAAGAAAAGGAAAAGAGAATTCTATCACATGCCAATAAATACACAAATAATAGTTGAAGCTAAGTGAAAGTCATTACTCGCACATCAATTCTCAAAAATTACAGACTAAACATTGGCTAGAATGGCACTGAAACTACCAAGAATCATGGACGAAACAACTTGTCAAATTAAATAATCCTTATACTGAAACTACCTTCTAACTTGAAATAAGACATGATCACAGTTCATAGCTCTCTTCTCACTATGAATTGGTTGCAGCTCGTCCTTATCACTGCCTCTCAAGCTCAATTCAAACAGAATAGAGACCGTTATGTAAGATAACCATATTCTTACTGATCATAATTCCTTTCTTCACTCCATTTTTGTCGGAGAAAAGATTTATCCCCCTCTCCTGCATTTCCCTTTCCCCCTCTCTTCTCCCTCTTCTTCACAAACCGATCCCTAAACCAGCAACAACAACACAAAAATAGCCTTCGCCTCTGCCGTCTCCATCTATTGAACGCGTTGGTGGCAAGACAGGACTGCAGAAGCAAAATTTTCTAAAATCAAACTAAATTTTTTGAAGCAGACTCAACCACGAAAAAAGAGTAAAGCAACAATGCAGTAGAACCCTAAATTTAACTACAATCAAGCACATATCAGCAAGATTTTTGATTTGTCTGAGAGTTAACTACACAGAGAGAACAATTGATGCATAATTGAAATGCTCCAAGCAAGTTGAAGGCAAACCATAACTTTAGAATTTGGTCATTATAATAACCTTCAAGTATTGATGCTTCTAAGAACTATCATGTCCAACCCCCACTTATACAACTACGTAGCCATAGTAGTTAGTTGTATAATGAGAAATATTACAAAGAAAACTAAATAAACAACCAATGCAAGTAAATATTAAAACTAACAACTGATAAAACTTAAAATCTCTCTATTGGTATAAATGTATCTATTAGTAACTACTATGCAATCGAGTATATATGATTTTTAGGCACTGAATAAGAAAAGTATAGATGGCTCACAAATGAAGACCTAGCAACTGAAGGTAGCACACAAAAACCAAAAATAAAAAAAAAGAGATAAGAAAAAAGGCGAGAAAAAGTTAAACAAAGAAAAAGCCCACATAGGAAAACCTCGCTAGCTTTAGGGACTCTCTGCCACAACAAACAACCTTCTAAAAAATCTAACACCCTGAGACATCAAACAAACCTCCCACGACACTAATGTATGGCATTCCTATTGTCCAATAGGTTTGCCCAATTTAGACT